GCACATCTTAACACCTCTCAACAAAAGATTCCCCCAGGCTCAGCCAGGCCTTCAAATGCTAATGAAGATGGTCAGTTGAAACATTCACACCTAGTTCCAGCAGAGAAGAGTCTTTGCCCCACCCCAGTCATTCTACAGATATATAAACCCATTTTCCTAATTCCAACAGACCTCACTACCTCTGAGGATGCTTGTCATAGATGCAGGCGAAACGTCAGGAGAAAATGCCTCTAGAACATGGCCATATAGCCCGAAAAAACCCACAAGTACCTAGTATTTCCAAAATATCAAGTGGCTCCAAGATGTTGTTTTTCTTACTTCTTAAGGCATCTTTTCCTGAGACATGGTTTCTTTTATTTCTATGGGGTCAAACCTTGGTGACATTTGAGTTAGGAAACAGACAATTGAGGCCTATTTCCTTCGATACCTTCTTGGAGAAGGCAACGACTTTCTTGGAATCTATCCATATGCCTACTATTTCATCCTTTGGGAAGGCTGTTTTGCTGAATGTTTGCATCTGTGGATTGCAAGTTAATCTTTTGTCCCATGAATTACCTTAAAGAATTATCAGCTTGCTATTTATAAGAATGCAAACTAGGTTAGGAAAAAATATCACATTATATTTCCACACCTGGCATTTCAGGAAATTAAGTTTATGATAGAAACACTGTTGCTTCTGTTCTGTATCTCTGTTTCTACTCAGGTTTGGAATGAGAGAAAGGAAGGGAAAAGGGGTTACTCTACTGTCTTTCAGACCCCAGTGTACAGTGTTAAACTTCAAATACAATAACTTTGCCACTACTGGATATTGAGGCCTGGGTACTGTATTTCTATACTGCTTTGCACTTAAAGTTTAAAGAAGAAAGAAGAAAGTAGCAGTTCAGATTGAATAGTGTTAAGCAGAAATATCCTGGGTATTGAGCTCTGGAAAAGATGGCTTTGATTTTTGAGACTGAAGCATTTTGAAACTATTAGGAAACAACATGTTGCTGAATCAGTTCAGACTGATAAGAAGTGTACTTTATACATATTCAGATACTGTTACGTTTTAAGCATGTTTGTCATAAAGATGAACTTTCCTGAAAGAAAACTCCAACAAACCATCCAATGTGCTTGAGAATGGTACAGGGAGAGAAAATTCAGCCCTAAAACAATACATTTGGGATTTATTGCAGAGACCATTTTAAGCGTCTCAAGGTCTTTTTAAATGGACACTGACATTTCCTTCTTTATTGCTTTTCTGATTAATTGTATTTCAGTTACAGCTAGTGACCAACCCATATTAGACAAACACTTCCAACCTGATAAAAAAGATTGGAGCAAGCTCCCTCCCACTGCTTATTTGTAAAGGCATTAAATGCTGGAGAGTGTTTAAAGTGTTCTGTTTTTAACTCTATCCTTTCTTTCCTTGTCCCTTTCCTTAATGAGATCTTCCTCTCCACTTTTGAACACTAACCCATGGCAGAATAAATTCCTTAGGGGAGGAAGATAGGATAGCTGTAGGATTTTCAGTTTCTTGTTTGCTTGATGCATCTTTACATTCTTGCTTTTTTTGTTAGCTCAGAAAGGCTGAATTTTGTTGAGTGCTGCTGGTGCAAATTGCTGTTTGTATAATGGGGATCCTCTTTTCTTCCCTCATTTGAGGAGAGATAAGGGGTGCTTTAAGAGGGGTAGCAACATTTATTGACTGTCAGTTTTGCATTGAATGGACACATTTGGATATAATCTGGTGGCATGAGGAGATAGGGGTATAACTGTTTTTTAATCAAATCATTGAAAAAGTGACCTATTACATGAGTAGTTCACAATGCACTTACTGAAATCAGCAGGATTTTGCCAATGTAACCACATGCCAGGATCTTAGCTAATATTCTTGGATTCTTTTTCCCATTATGTACTATCATGTAGTTCCCACTATTCCACAGAGCAGTCAAGCAGTCTGAATGTGAATATGCAAATTAAAGTATCATAAATGTGCAGGCTTTTAAAATTACAGATATTCTGCCCTCTCACATAACTTTTTGTGCTTTGATAAAGTATTTCAGTTAGATATAAGCCAGTGATGTATGGCTTGGCTATAGGAGAGTAGAGTTTAAATCCCCATTCAACCATGAAAACCCATGGTTGGGCAAGTTGCACATTGTCAAACTCAAAGGAAGGCAGTGATAGCCTCTTAAAATATTTTGTGATAGGTATTGTTTGTGTTGGCCATAAATTGGAAATGTGTTCAGTTAGATGTCTTAAAGACGGCAGCTATTTGGCAATGGCCTTGTACCATAGATTCCTTACCCAAATAATTACAGCTAAAATATAGTATAATTTGTTCCTGCTTACTGTAAAAAGCTGCCAGCTGAGATTTGGCCTCATTTAATGTGTTGTTCTGCTGTTCTTTTTGACTTGAAAATTTTAATGTGGATTCTGGCCTGCAATATGTGGAGTGTGTTTACTCCTTTATATTGTTTAGTCTTCAGAATGTCTAGGGAATTTGGTAGAAATTACTGATAGTTGCTGTCTTAATTATTTTAATATGTTTTCCATTGTGACTTTCCTAAATGTATAGGCAACTACTTGAATTACCTAGAAATGCACAGTTCTAAATCCTATCCCACTTCCACATACTGCGTTGTGTGTGAGAGACCATCAACATTATCGCTGTGCTTTGCTATCATATCTTTGGATATTTGCACACAGAAGCATGTATGTACACAATCTGTTTAATGGGCCCCAGTGACACAATTTCTCCATAATTGCCTAGATGTCACTATATTGTACTATAAAATAATTTTTGACATAACTTGAAGAATTTGTACACTTTTTTACAATTCAAAAGTAAAATGGTCCTATCATAGAATTACTTAAAATCCAGTTTGAAGATTCTTGGTAAAACTTCATGTCAAAATATATTTTAGATTGGATTTGAAATAAACCCTGACTTAGCAGTTGCTTTGAAATACTGTATACTTAATAAACCATATACTTAATAAACTGTGTAAAACTCAGGTTTGTCTATATAATCACTATTTAATTTTTCTCACTTTGCTTCCCTGTCTCACTTGAAGTTTGCGTTGGAATTTGAAGTGAGACACGAAATTACTTCCTCCTCCTTTGTTTGCTTCTATGGCCTCTTCTACAGTGCCCTATGTCCCAGGATCTGATCCAGTTTATTTGCTTTAAATCAGATTATATGAGTCTCCACTGCCAAATAATCTGGGATGAGGAGATAATCTGGGATAAGATCCTGGGATATAAGGCAGTGTGGTCTTTGTTCCTATAGCCTATGGTTGTTCTTGAAACATGTTTGACACCTGGCTAGACTAACACTTTTATGTTCCAAACACTTCTGTTATTCATCTTCAAATTGTTCAATAGTGGTTTGGGAGATATAACATGCTCTTCTTTTTCTGCTTCCCGTCTTGTAGCAACCCAGTGAAGAGTTCTGAAAAACTCAAAATGTTCACATATTGGTGAATTCTTATAAAGTATGGCTACAGTGTCAATTTTGAACTATCTCTAAAATGTGATGTGAGGTGGGGAGGTGGAGATATTAACATGTTTAAAGCAGTTTCTATCTCCAATTTTCTGTTCGTTTTACCCCCTCTGACACCCTTTTAATAATATTTTGTTCTGTAGAATGAAAGTTGTCAAACTTACAGAATTTTGAAGCTGCTAGGCTGGAATTAATTTGTTGACTTGACACTCGCTAGTGTAGACTCAGTGAGGACTGGAAGAGGTTATCTGACCAGAAAATAATTGTCCTTCCTTTAAGTATTTTTTTTTATATTTTCAATTCTTTACACTGGGAGTAGTAACTAGCCAAACTGTTTGAGTATTTACATTTCTGAGTATTATCATTTGCAGCTAAAATATACATTGCATTTGGAAGATTTTAGTTGTATAGCAAAGTGATTAATTTATTATTTAAAAAATATTTTAAATTTTTATATCCCGATCTGCTCTACCTCCGCAGAGGGACTCAGACCAGCTAATGTCTTCTATATTTCTTGATCTTCTGGATCCAGTAATACTTTCTCTCTCTTTCACTTTATCTGGTGTGTATGTTGATTTATTTAGAAAGTAAGCAAGAAGAGAGGAGAACATTGGCTTATTCAAACCTTTTAATGCTTTTCAAGGATGGGATTGTGTTTTGCAAAACATTGATTACAGGGATTTTTCTACTATTATATTTTTTTGGGCGAGTGTTTGGGGGGGAGGGTGGTGGTGAAGGAATGAGATTTGCAAACAGAGTAAGAGCAGGGTAGCTGCAACATTATATTTCTATTCTATTGCTGCTTCTAGTCAAAAACTCTTGAAATTCAGTTACAGATCTCTTCATATGGGGGCATTTAACTATGTCTTGAAAGTACTCAGTAATGTAGGATAAGGGAGGTTTCCTGAATTCTTCTTGCTGACACAGTCATTGATCCACAACCTCTACGGAACAAATCTTGATTTCACTGTACAATATTGCACACATTTATCCTGGGTCAAGAAGAAAAGTGCTGTCATTTCCCATAGGGCCACTTACATATCATTTGAAGACATACATATGCAGCAGAAACAATATACTATGGAGAATGTTTGAAGAAGGACATACTGTGATTGCGAATCAAAGTATGGATTTAAAGTAGCCGTTACATCTGAATTGTTAAGCATTGTTTTTTTAAAAAAACCTTTGTACCAACATCTATTTTTATATAAGCATGCATAAATGTGGAATATGTTCTGTGCAGACCTATATATTTGTCTCATGATAATTCAGACCTGTACTAAACATTCACATTTATACTATTCTTCAGTCTGTTTTTATTATAAAGGGCATGGTAATAAATTTACTTGCTAAGTTATTTTATAGCAGCTAAGAAGATTTTAATTGCATTTGGAAGATATATATATATTCTGTATAATTTGTCATAATATCATTAAGTCTACATAAAATAAAGTTGCATTCACATTACATTGTTCTAGGTCTTTTTCCTGATGGTCATTATGTTCTATTGCAGGCATACAGGAGTTTCCAGAAAATATCAAAAACTGTAAAGTTTTGGCAATTGTTGAAGCCAGTGTAAACCCCATTTCAAAGTAAGTTCTTTGTTGCCATTTGCCATAACTTTGTGTCCATGTATTAGGCACTGTGTTCACTACATTTATTTAAATAAACACAGTAAAATAAAATATGGATATATGGTGTGTTTCCAAACAAAGCATTTAATCTTGTATTTGCTATTTTTTGTCTGTGTTCAACTGTTTTTAGGCTACCAGATGGATTTTCCCAGTTGTTAAACCTAACACAGCTATACCTAAATGATGCTTTCCTTGAGTTTTTACCCGCCAATTTTGGCAGGTAAGTTTGCAAATGAGTTTGAAAACTAGAAGGTCCCTCCCTCCCTATACAGAATATAGTGCAAAGCACCGTGTGTTATGAGAACAGTTGGAAAGTTGAGTCAACTCTGCCAGATAGTTAAACTACCAACAATATGCAGTAGTACCACTTTTCACAATGAATGGGAAAGTATGGTTTTAAGTCCCATTGAAAGATGGCATTTGTTTTAATGAAAAGTCTGAAAAATAGCTGATAGATTTATGTTTACAATTTGAATTCTGAGGAAGACTCATGGACTTAGATTTATTTATGACAAGGACTAGCTAGCATATGAATGATAGGGATTGCAGTCCCAACATTTGTTGGTAGTAGATTGCTCATCCCTAATATAAAATCTCTTGTGATTCTGATGTCATATCATTTTTGCATTACCAATTTCTTTTGTGCTCTTGGGAAACAGACAGGAAAAGAGAGACCAGTCAGAAGTTTGAGAGAAAGAGAGAGAGAAATAAAGAAAGAACAAGATTGCTTGTCTTTACAATGTTCTGAGTCTTACCTTTATGCTAGGTGTGTAAAATACACATGATTGGAGAATATAAATGGGGATAAGTCCTCTTTTTTCCCTTTTGGTCATTGTTCCTGCTGTCTTTCAGTCATAAACTATACTTGCCTTTAAATGGAGAGAAAATGTGTCCACTCTTAACATATCAAACCACCTTTCATGAGACTGTTTCAGTACATTCTTACATAATACTCTCTGTTTCTGGCTGTCCTATTTCTTAATCTGAAAACACCTCTATGCAATAAAACCTTCTATATTGCAGAGCAAAAACAAAATGGCAACTAACTGGCTAGAAAGTAGGTCTTTAGTGAATTACAGTCTGAATATTTTTTTGCAAAAAAGGATGACTGTAATGATTTTTTTTAATGGTAATTATAAACAAGACATAGAAGACCTTGGCAAGGGTTATTCCCAGTTACTGGATTGAATTTAGGTCATCGGAGAAGACAAAGCATACATTTCCAAACCTAAGCAATAGAAAAAGTTGCTTGAGGATGATTAACACATTTAATATAAACTAGTTTAGTAGCTTAATATTAGTGATATAGAATTAAATCATAGCAGCGAGAAGAAGAAAGTTAGCAAGCTTTTCCAATTGATAAGAAGCCGTGATTGTGGATTTGTACCATCATGAATAGCAGTTGTATGCCTCATAATTTCCTACACTGGCCACTTCAGATCTTAATAATTTGAAGCTACGTGGAACATTATGCTCATTCAGTCGGTATTTTCTTTCAAATCTTTCCTGATTTAGTCTCCAGAAAGTTCTTGAACTTTCTGGAACAAATTTAAGACGTATCTGGTAGAGAAGATCGCAGGGAGGAAGAAGATGAATCCAGTCTTCTATCTTGCCTGTTCTGCTGGTGGAAAGACAGTGTCTAATATAACCCCTGAATTCCTGAAATAGCAACCAGTCTAAATACTAGGAAATATAGCTATAACTCAAAGAATTTCATGTGAAAATCCCCCTTGAATAAAAATGCTCACAATAATTTTTTTACATGGCCCATAATTGAAAATTAAATCCTACTAATGTTTGAATTATTGTAATAGTAACATAAGCAAATTTAATTTGTTTCAGATATACCCAGTTTTACCGTTTAATAGCAGTCTATTATGTTTATTTTACAGATTAACTAAACTCCAGATTTTGGAGCTTAGAGAAAACCAGTTAAAAATGTTGCCAAAGTAAGTATATATTGATATTTGAGTTTATTTTGCTGTGAATAATTTGTTTGAAATGTTGAGAATATAATAAATCAGAACTTTGAACTGTTGTCCTTTGTTAAAAAAAGAGTTCATGTTCCAAATATTTCAAGTTTTCTTTTATAGTGATGCCTATACTAAGTGAAAAAACCCCTATATTGCTTACTATCCTTGTCCCTAATAGCTGTTATATGATAGCATGGCTTTTTTTTGTTTCATATCTTGTCTTATATCAACAAACATAAGGCCAAAAAGACATCTAAATTACCTTTAACATTAACAAGGGACTCAAAGTGGCGTACAAAGTGGCAACATTTAATGCTGCATATTCAACAACATAAAATACAATACATCAATGCAATACACAATTAAAACATGTAAATATCACAAACTATTAAAACATAAAACCCAATCCTGAAGTCATCATCACTACAAATAACTGATCATTCCATATTTTACAGTTGTCTATAGGGAGAGAGATCAGTATAAGTTGTGTAAGGCTATAACGCTTGAAATGCATAATGAATAAGTTTCCTACTGCTAATGAGGCTGCTGCTATGCTAAATTGCCTGAGGATTTCTATGTAGGAAAATGGAATGCAGCAATGAATCAGTTAGGTTTTAGTTGTTAAAAAACATGCCTGGTATAAAATGGTCATATGCAACTGAATGTCACATTTATACTCTCACTAAAAGAAAGACAAGTGTTTTTGAGTAAATTCTTCTTGAAGTGAAATGGTCAGTTTTTAATACTATATTTTTTCAATTCTAAGATGTAAATTTTCTCCCATATAAACATCTCTAAAATTTTTTGTCTTTTTTCTATATATAAATCTTCTTTTTTCCTGTTGGTGATACTGAAATCAATGTACGTCTTACAATCAGTGGCGTCTTAAAATACAATAAATACGGTATTTATGTAGACTGCATTCCAACAGATGTCTCTTCTGTAGGAGTGATGCTGTTCAGTTTTTGAGTTTTTGTGTGTCACAGACTTCCTTTTAAGGAAGACATGGTGGGTTGTTTTATTTAGCCAAACAATATCAGGAAATAGAGAATTCCCTAGATCCCTTGACAGCAACTGTTTTTGCTGGCAGTTGCCAGTGGGACTTGCAAGTCATGATGGCCAGTCTTCTCTTCCAACAGCCATAGCAATTATTAGGAAGGGGAGGGTATGTGAAGAGTGGGTACGATGAAAAATGGCCCCTTTGCTTGTCTTTCTTTATTGTTTAGCATGTCTTCCCTTTATTGTGGGTGGACAGTGATGAGGAGAAACTTGGATAGTCCTTGACAGGAAACTGGGTCATCAATAGGTGCTGATATAGAAAGAGCTTCATCAAAAACTATATAATGTATAAGGAAAAGGTCTTTATAATGAGCTGTGGAAAAATGCAACAGAAATTCTACCACTGGGCAAATGAAACTGTAAATGAAATATGAGCTTTTCAGCTCATGTTCTAGTAGAGATCTCAGTATAGAAAATTGCTTTGTTAAACTCTTATCCTCATATTTATAGGTCCTTTTAAAAATAAAACGGGCCGGTTTTACACAGGAGTTCATGCTGAAATTATTATGGTTCCTTTATAAATAAAATGACTAAAATGTGGGTGTGGGTATGCACATAAAACATACTTTGTAGAATAAATGTGTGCTTGTTAGATGAAGAAAATGAGTATTTAATCTCATGTTTAATACATGTTGACATTTATGTTGAATTTAAACATAGGGAGGTAGTTCTTAATTGGTTAGCACATAGTTAACACTACAGCATAAAATGTTAGTAATGTGGCTAATTAAATAGAGAACAAATATAATGAACGTTCATGCGCTCTGCTCAAATGTGATAGCTTGTATCTTGAGGTTTTATGGTCCTCCTGCTAGCACAAATGAAGGTGTAGGGATATTTTTCCAATTTCCGCTGTGCATGAAAATAATCTGTGGGGGGTAGAGTGACATTTTGGGGCATGGTGAAACAGAGTGCAAGGAAGAGACTGTAGGGAAAGAAGATAAATTCCTGAAAATTGCCTTTTGTTCCTTGCACTGAAGATTTTTCTGTCAGTGAAAGGAAAAGCAATAGTAGCTTCAACTCACTATTTATTTATTTACCATATTTATACCCTGCCCTTCTCACCCCGAGGGGGACTCAGAGCGGCACTATCTTTTCAGTATGTTTTTTCAACCAGCGTAGAGTAAACTAACATCTTAAATGTGATCAAAATACATGAGTTAAAAGATGTTGAATGCTTTCCATTTATTTAGTTTAAAATTGTGTTAGAAAGCAGAATTAGCTGTCAGCATTTGAAACAAAATTAAAAGACAGCACAGCTCAGTATGAACAGTCTCTTGTTACAGGCTTTAGTTTCTGATTGCACACCCCTACTATGAATCTAGTAACTTGCTTTAACTAAAAAATTTAGCACTGAAGTTGAATTGATTTGACAGTTGACTAGAGTAGACTGTAGGAAAAGCAAGATCTTGGGTTTAGGTTTGAAGGGTGGGCAGGGGGGTGACAATGTAAAGGAAAGTTTGACTGTAGTTATTGAACTTTCACTTTCTAATAACTTCAGATTTTGTTCCCTATGGACATAATCTGTTATTGGGACCTAATATAGAATTTCAGAGGACGGGTTCTCTAATTTGACACGTACTGCCATTAAGCATTATGAAAGATCATGATCACAACAGAGCTTGAAATTCTTTAAGTGAGATGCTGGGAATAAACTGTCCCTGCCCAACTCCCCCTTCCCAGTGAAGCCATGTATATAGTGGGTTATGTATTAGTACAGAGCAGGTTGAAGATAAATGAAAATACTATTAAAATAAATAATCTCACATGAGGATAGAATGAAATCTAAGAGTGAATGAGGATAGTTTTCTGAATAAGTTGAAAGAAGGGTATATTTTAATTGAACTAGACAGTGTTTCTTTGTCTCATGTGAGCGATAGCATAAGTGATGCCTATTTATTAAACATTGTATGAAAATCTAACTATTAAACATGTGTGTTTTATAGAGTTTTTTAACCACCATCTAATGATGGTTAAAAAGATACATTAGTGTCAACACGAGAAGATTGGATTTAAATGGTATTTTTCGTAAACCTAATTCCTTATTAATCCTTTCCCTCTGCAGAACCATGAACAGACTGACTCAGCTGGAGAGGCTGGACCTGGGAAGTAATGAATTCACAGAAGTGGTGCGTTTTAGCTAAGTAACGCAGCTTTCCTAAAACCTCTTATCCTTAAATCTATTTTTAATCAATGTCAGATATAAAAATCAGCTTAACTGCTATCTCACAGAGCAACTGTTGTCTGTATCTTAATGCTTAAGGGAATCTATTTTTAAAGCCGACTTCTTTATTCAGATTTCATTTCCTATCAGTGTGGCATTTGTTTGGCTAACAAAGTATTTTCATATGGCTTTTACACTATAAACAAACAGTGTTCTTATTCAGTGGCATATCAAGTCATGTCACATGGGCAAATAAGTACTTGCAGTTATGCATAGAGCATTATTTTACATGTGCCTATGCAATGAAACTTATTTGGAAAGAGCATACACTTTTGTTTCCATGGTGGTTATCTTTCAGTAAACCTAAGTTGAATCTTTAAAGCCTGTTGAAAAATTTGGATAGTTAAGTAACTAAGTAAGTAGCAGCAATATATAGAAAAATAAATTAGTCATGAGAAATGCATTTTAATGAGTTAAGCTTTAAGATATTATTTTTGTGCTTTGTTTTTAATAGCCTGAAGTACTTGAACAGTTAAGTGGGTTAAAAGAATTTTGGATGGATGGTAACAGATTAACTCTTATTCCAGGGGTACGTATATTTAATACTTTTAATACATTGTATTGTGTTTGTTTAGTGCAACAATTAAATATTATATTTAAATGGCAGTTGAATATGCAATTGTATATATAAGTACATTTTTACTTCTGATTCTGAATATGATTCCATTTCCTGAAGTACTTGTAATGAATATTCCAAACATTACTGATGAGTTTTTTATCTGACATAAGATACAATTCAGTTCTTAGTAATTAATAGAATCTCTTATCTTTGTTTTTATACTTTCAGTTTATGGGCAGTTTGAAACATCTGATCTACTTGGATGTTTCCAAAAACAACATTGAAACCCTTGAAGAAGGCATTTCAGGATGTGAAAGTTTACAAGACCTGCTGTTATCTAGTAATTCACTTCAGCAGTTGCCAGAGTCTATTGGTGTGTATTGTTAACTATAAATATTACATAAAAACATAGTAAACTTTTCTATCATATTTTAGACCAAACACAAAATTACTTTAAATATGCATTTTCTTTTTTCCTTTTTTAAAAAAATCCCATGTTAAATTGGTCTTAAAAGTTAAAACATAATTCAGTGGTTGAAGGGTCAAAGAGTCACAAGGCACACCCAGTTTAAGGTCCCTGTTCGGTTGATATATTCACAGCTTATTAGGAAGACAAAATGTTTGGGGAATGAGTCAAGTCTGGCACTCTGAGAAAGAGTAAAGAATATATCTATCCAAATATATTTTGATTGTGGATGGAATTTCAGATCAGCTCATCATGATAAAGAACATAATATACTAACTTCCTAAACTAATTATACTAAAAATTACATAAAGCTTTAAAAAGTTAAACAACACAATTGTTAAAATTGTTTGTAAACTCTTGGGTTAATTAGCTCTAATATAGGTCAGGAATTGTTTCCAAGGATAAAAAATCCCCTGACAACACATGATATTCAAATGGGATGCATTCTAAAAGAGATTTTACTTTTTATTATTCAGCATTACACATTATGAAATTATCACAATTATTTACCTTTTGAAATGAGTGGTGATACCTACTAATTTTCCTCATGAGATTACCCCAGGAATCTCATGAGAACTTAAAGCATGGGTGCTGTCAGATATAACGACTGGTGATTAGTTGTTAGGCTTGGCTTCTACAGAACAATGCCTTTCTTGTAGGGGAAAAGAAAGGACAGCATTTGCTCTCCTTTAAGATAAATTGGTCCCTCCCTTTGAGATTTAGACTAGAGGTACCAGTCGTTAGTCGAGTCTAGTTTTTGAAGGCCTTATTCCATAATCCAGTATGGGACACAGTATGAGTTTAGAGCTGAATCCCTGCCATCTTTAGACCTAAGAGGGGAAAATGACCTTTGTCTACCTTTTTTTGTGCCCCTACTGGAAACAATGAATTATGTCCTGTTCATTCCTGCATTTAATGAATAAATCGAGTGTTAGTCTTACCTGGACCTACTTAAATCAATGGGGCATAACATAGTTGCGTCTAACAAATCACATTCATTTCAGTAGTCTGTTTGAGGTAGGACTACAATTAGATAGATCAGTGTTTGTTTTAATTGGAATCCTGTTTAATAATGTGTTTATTTTATTACAGGTTGTCTAAAGAAACTAGCAATTCTTAAAATTGATGAAAATCAGCTAATGTATTTGCCAGATTCCATAGGAGGGTAAGTATTTTTCTAGCATTTTCATTAATAAATAAGAAACCTGACTTGTTTTGTTCCATAATGATTCTTTGTTAGATTGCTGGTAGATTAAATATATTGGACAGAGTCATATGGATTTTTAGCATAGTGTAAATGTATGCTGGTACAATTATGCTGGACTTCACAGTTGTGTAACAAGTCATTATGAGGGTGCCATAGCCTTGAGATATAACCCATTGTGCAGTATTAAATCTCTGCCTAACAGGTCATAAATAAAAAGGTATGTGTGTGTGAAACATTTGGCTGCATTGTAACCTACAAGTTTTTCAAAAGTTGCAGGCATTTTCATGTCTATTTTATTACTAGCATAATGTCTCAATAGGATTTTAGCTGTTATTTGTTGGCCATACTGCAGTATACCTGTTGGGCTTAAATTATTCTGAATTTGCTGCACATGTATCAGATAATGAAGTTTGATCTAGGGAAGCACCGCAGTTCGAAAAGTATTTAGGATTCACTGCTTAAGAGTTTATGTTGTCGTTAGATTACCTAGCTGACTTTAAAATAATTTAAAGAAAATAATACTATTGTTGTACCTTTTCCAAATTTGTTCAGGTTAACATCAGTTGAGGAACTGGACTGTAGTTTTAATGAGATTGAGGCCTTGCCTTCATCTATTGGGCAGCTCTCCAATATAAGGACTTTTGCTGCGGATCATAACTTCTTAACACAGTTGCCACCAGAGGTATACTTTCATTCATGAATCTTGTTTTCTCTCTTCATCTCATATGACTGTAAGGAAATAGTTGAAATCTTGTAATAGAGGCATACCTGGAAAAATATTCCTGAAATTAGCTCACAGTCATTGATAAGATAAGTTGTAGGTCTCTAAAGCAAAAAGCCACTCATCTGCCAGATTGCATACAAGGGCAGGAGCTGCTGAAAAATAAGTATAATTTCAGTATCAATTGCTTAGATCTATGAATGACAAGGGGCTCTTGTGCTCATATTCTGGTTTTGGCTTTTTATATGTATCTTGTTGGCTTTTCTTTCAACAGAAGCCTGCACTAGACAGGTCTTTAGTCTAATCTGGTACCGCCATTTTATTATGTTTATACGAGCTTTGGGGTTGTATTGATTTGAAGTGTTCTCATATCTCTTGATTTTATCAATGCTTAACTGCAAATTCTAACAATACATTGCTATATCAACTTCTATGAGAGTAAGTTTCAGTGGGACTTTTTGACATAACCTGGATTTTTTATTTTTATGTTTCTTGAAGTTTAATGTTTAAAATTAATTATCTTTCAGTATCTGTTTTAGTAACAATAGATTTATGATCCAATACACAGTTGAATTTACAAGCAGTTATAGAAACAATTCTCTGTAGGCACAATATTTCTCAACTTAGCTTTGAAGAGACACCTTCTATTTGCAAAAGAACTGGGAATCAAGTGGAAACTCTCTGCTGGAGAAGGAGGAACAGTTCAGAATCACCCTCTTATTTCCCTTAAGTCCACAGTGCCACTTTTCATGCTGTTCAGCGGGTCTTCCACAGGCTGAGCTTTCCCAAATGCTCATTTGATCTCCTCTCCTAGAACAGAGGACTAACCAATGAATACAGAAGACTGTGCTTGCTCTGCTACCATGTGTATTTATTTCCTTGTGCAATGATTCATGCCTTATCCACTTTTGCCAAAGTTTTTGCTTAAGGTCCTTCTTTAAAGCTTGACCACCACTACCCAAAAAAATAAAAAACAACCATCCAATAAAAAATCATTTCTGACTACAGGCTCAGCCTTCAACCTGCTACAACTATTTTTTGAGACATGGGATGGTGAGGGTGGAGAGTGAATGCCTAAGCACTGCTCCTCTGCCTCCTGTAGCTATTATGCAAATCTGATTTTAATGCAGGGGTGGACAGCTCATTTTCCCCCTTCAGACCACTTCGCATAGTGTCTTCATGAATGTCCAAAATCATTTATTATCCTGGTGACTGGACGATAATTTTGTCTTCGAATACCTATATTAGTTGTGTGTTTGCATACTTCAAACAAAATGTGCATAGAATTATGATCAGAAACATTGAACAATTAATGCTCTGAGCTTCTGAAAGATGTGTTATTTATTTTTCAGATTGGAAACTGGAAGTATGTTACTGTTTTGTTTTTACATTCAAATAAGCTGGAGTTCCTCCCAGAGGAAATGGGTGATATGCAGAAATTGAAAGTCATCAATCTAAGTGATAATAGGTTTGTGATACGCTTTCTTTTGTATGAACAATGAATTATGATGGATAGTGAATCTTCACTGAGTCACCTTAGGCTGGACGCGGTCTCTCAATCCAGCCTCTTACACAGAGCTATTGTGTGGATAAAATAATGGGATTGGAAAACATACCATTCTGAGCATTTTGAACAAGAATGGGATAAGTAAACATTTGCTTGTTTGTTTCCTACAGGTTGTTAATTTGGTAGTTTCTACTTGTGGGGAAGGAAGTCAATGTTTACATAGATTCAGCCACTGTAACCGATGAGCATTGACAGAATTTGAGGAAGAACTGAAGTGCAGAAGAGAGACAGCTGTTTTTGTAGGAATGAGCCGAGAGGAATCTAATGTTTAGGTTGCAACAGCTGACAGAATATGTAGTTGTGTTGCTAGAAGAGAAGTGTTGGGTCTGGAATTAGCTTCTTTCCTTAACAATAATGATTAGTGAGACTAATCTGTCACTTATAAAATATGAGGCTGAATATTTTGTTTGAAACATTTTAAGCTATTTGCTGTAATGGCATTGTTTACATGATGCATCTTCTATCTGAGGAGTGAAAATTGCCTACTAGATTATATGGTTATACCATAGGATCTGTATGCATGGGGCTATTATTTATGCATGTATATACTATGTAATATGTCACTTTGGTCTTTTCTCATTATATTACCTTACATTCGGTAATATAAGCACAGTCTTATGGTAAACAATAGCTGTGAATGGTTACATAAAGATATAGAGAAATATGTGAGATGTGATTTTTTTTGCTTTAATAATAATAATAATAATAATAATAATAATAAATTTATTATTATTGCTTCAATAATAGTCATAGTAAAGGATCCCCCCCACAAAAAAACCCTTGCAAGTAATGTTGTATATCTAAGAGGTTTTGAGGTTTAATCATCAGTTCCTATGCTGCATTGTAAACTGCTTTTGAAACTAAGGGAAGTTTCACGAACTGTCTAGTAAATGAAGAATAATTAAAATAACCACAGGGGACACACACATTTTTTGATGTTTTAGTAGCTGTTTCTTTTTAACTTCCACCAAAAGGATAGAACAAAGAAATCCTCAGGAATTCTACTGGAGAATTAACACAGACCTCTACCCATAGAGCACTGACATCCAGGACAAAAATATTCCAGCAAACCTGTTCTTTTTCCAGTTGGGCACTTTTTTGTCTCAGCTAACGCCATGTATTATGACCAAACCAAAAAAAAAAAAAATCCCATACCACCTTTCAGTGAATTTTGATACTGAGAAGTAGAAGAAACATATTCTGGGTATCATTAAGCGGGCCCCTTCTTCTCTTTTGAGTGGCGGATGAGAGATACCTTGGACTCTATTCCTGACCTGCAGTAAAATGGAATTTTAATCTAGTGCTTGATAGCCAATCACAGGGTTGCTGTTTTTTTGCTACAGTGACATTTTAAATATGGAAGTGAAATATAAATAATTCTAGTTAAATGTTCACAGGATTGTTTCAGCCAAGTCTGTTCTAAGAAATTGAAAAAATATACTTTGTAATTTATGTATTTACCTTCAATTATTGAAACTGCTGAGCATGTAGAAAGCTTCACCCCTTCTAAATATTATTATGTTGCCAAAAGAAAAAGCTCCGAGGTAAGCCATTTGTCTTTATGTCAACTCTTGCCTTACACATTTTTTTCAGATTGAAGTATTTGCCATACAGCTTTACAAAGCTGCAACAGCTGACTGCCATGTGGCTCTCAGATAATCAGGTAAGTATTTTTAATGTGATTAAAATGTATTTTTTTTCAAAACAGGTTTAGAAGTTACAGTTTTAAAAGCAATTATATTCTAAAATCATTTTCCAATCAGATGTAATCTTGGCTTCTGAACTGGGAATTTTCCCATGCACTCTGTGCATCTAATGATCAAAGAAAGCACAAATAACTTTTCATGTAATAAAAAGAGTAGTGTTAATGTTCTGCAAGGGGCTGTTTATCCCAAATAGTTTGTAATCTGGAGTATCCACAAACTTTTAGAGTACAGATATTTTGTTTTTCATATCATATGTTGATATTGATAGTTGTTATGTCGTATAAATAAATAAATAAATAACTTCATTTATAACCTGCTCTATCTCCCCTAAAGGACTCATATACTTTATAAAAGTTGAAAAATGTTTGGAAAAAAATAGACCCTACCCCCCTCAAATTGGGTTGATTTATCCATGGTAGCATGAATTCAGCCAGAGAGATCTTTTCAAAGAGACTACTGTGGAGATTTTTGTTAAAGCTTTACTGCAGCTGCCATTTTTACAAGAACTTACTGTGAAGCTTATTTGCAAAGAGACTTCCGAGTCTTACAGTAGGTCCCTATTAAAAATGGCCACTGCAGTCTGTCTGCTGAGAGACTTATACAATAATCCCCTATTAAAAGTGGCCACCGCTGCTCAGTTTCACTTCAAGAGCCCCAAATAGTGCTCATGCTGCATTCTTTGCTGCTGAATGCCACTTGGGCTGAAAACAAAAGGTAAGGAAGGAGGGAGGGTTGTCTTTGTTTGTTGGGCCTAGCGAGGGTTACTGGTTGTGCTTATTCCATACCTCTGCAATGCCTAGAGGGGTTTTTCACCTCATCTTCTTGTTACCACCTTTGCACTAGGTCCCTAATAGAAGCAGGTTGCTTTCCCTTTGTTTTTTTTCACACCGAATTCTCATTTTTCCCCCTCATTCATGTTCCTTTTCTTATTTGTATTTATGTAGATGTAGACATTTTAAGACCAGGAATCCAATTTACACCTTGCCCCCATTGTAATCCCTCAAACAAACTAATCCCCATCTTCTCTTTCGTTCTTCCCGAATATGTTCCCTCTATGCCTTTTTAAAAAACAAGAATACATTATTTCTTTGTCGCATGCCCTCAGTTTATCCACAGCTTGGGCCCTTAAACCTCTTCTCAACTTATACATGAGTTCAAGTTACACATGAGTATACAGTAGTTGATATATTGTTTGGTTGCGTGCTGCAAGCTGCTTCTGGCTGTGAGAGAATCAGCCGTCTACAAAGATGTTGCCCAGGGGATGCCCAGATGTGTTACGATCCTGCGGGGGGGGGGGGGGGTCTTTCATGTTCCCCACACAGAAGACTGGGCGACCTGGAAGGCACTGAACAGACTGCGCTCTGGCACCATGAGATGCAGAGCCAACCTTAAAAAATGGGGTCACAAAATGGAGTCCATGACATGCGAGTGTGGAGAAGAGCAAACCACAGACCACCCATTACAGTGCAATCTGACCCCTACCACATGCACAATGGAAAGCCTTCTTATAGCAACACCAGACACACTCCAAGTGGCCAGCTCCTGGTCAAAGGACATTTAGTATAATGCCAAGTTTTTAAACTTTGTTTGTATTTTTAAATACATTACAACTGTATCCTTGGTTTGTTTCTGACACAATAAATAGTTGTTGTATTGCACTAATTCCTTAGCTACACACAGTAGTAGAAATTTAAGTGATGTTATGTTACAAGAAAGGATCGTATTGTCTTATAGTATTCCCCTCTATTTTATTATAAGATAACAGAGAAACTTGGCAGATGAATTTAATGGTGTGGGTTCAATGAAATGAGGGTGAATGTGTATGTGAGGCAGAGGAGAGACTGAATATGAAACATACATGCATACAGGTCTTCCTTTGTATAGTTACAGTTTTGGAAATTGGAGGCAAGTAATTTTAGTTCCATGACATGAAGCTGTGGGAAGTGCTACAGTAAATACAACAAATGATATTTTGGGTGTGGTATGGATGGGAGATGGCCAACAAATACTAGTGACTTGGGATATATTTCTGAGAAAGGAACTGGAAAAGCCACCCCGGAGTATTCCTTGCCTAAGAAAACGATATGATATTCCTAGGGTTATTATGGGTTGTCAGGCAACTTAAAGACACATGCATAAATGTACGAGGCTTTCTTATTCAGCAACCATGCCCCCTAATTGTGTTTGAATTTGTTTTGGTTCTGTACTTGAGAAAAAAAGTTGACTGAACTTCCCCATACCTACATGCCCATCCCTACATGTTTTGCAATTCTATTACACTTTAGGCTCTCTGCTCATATTCCATCTGTTAGAAATTTCCATCTTTTAGATTTTTTTTCTCAACCTCAAAGGTACTTCAGCATTCCCTTATATATTTTTATGTTGAAACAATAGGGTTTTCCCCTAGCAAGAACTATATATATTCTTATCATTAAGGAATATTTTCAAGCTACATACTTGTGTTTTGTTTTTGCATTTTAGTCTAAACCACTCATTCCCCTTCAAAAAGAAGTTGAATCAGAAACACAGAAAACAGTACTTACTAATTATATGTTTCCTCAACAACCAAGATCTGAAGATGGTATGAATTTTATTTATTTTTATGTTAAGATGCTACAAATAAAGGGTATCTGTATAAATTGGTTCAGATTATCTAAATCCAGGGGTATTGAGTAAATGCATTGAAATACATTTGAACAATGAAATTACTGTAATAAAATTAATAGAACAAATAATACTGTCATGTGTTATTGCATGCATTAATATTTTATTGCATTATGAACCCTTTCCAAAAAATAGTTAGAGAAAAAAGATGTTTTTTTTAAAAAAAATTCCTGAAAGATCTTTGAGTTTCAGCAAGTTGCAAAGTTGAAGCTAAAAACAACTCTTTACAAATGCACGGCATTACAGCTTGGGCATACTGCTGATTTTCCAACATTAGTGCCCTTGATCTTGTTGTTCAGTCTCATGCTGTGGCCACACACTGAATGTGCAGAGAGACTGCAACACATAAGATTAAAACTGGAAGTTGCTCAGTACAGTGCAATCATTCAATCATGTAAATATTGATTCAAGAGGGGAAAAGATGTAACTGACAGTGCAACACAGAAAAGTCAATGCAAGATAAACATAACTGTCTATCACTTCCCATAACTCTTTCCAGAATCAAAACACTTGAGTATTTTTATTAACATTTGAAAAAGGTCTTGATTATAATCTTTTGTATTGGTTGGTGTATATAGATACCAACAGGTACAACTTCCCGCATCTCTCTTCCTGAAAATTATTGACTATAAGGTGGTATTCAGGGCAGGGGTGAGCAAAGTGTTGCCGCTGGTCTTTTCTGTCTCTTAGAACCTCTCTTAAATGCTCCAAAATGCCCTCTGGGAAGTATTCCCTAGAGACAAAAATTACCCTCAAAAGGTTTCTGGAAGAGGAGATTTCTATCACAATCTTGAACAGGGTTGGACCACTTTTGGGTGATCTTAATACTTTGTTGCAACTAGTAAATTATTCAGTTGTTTATAACTATTTTTCCCCAGCTGGTAAGAAAGAAATGTCTATCCCATTTACCAATTTAAAATAAGCCCCAGAATGCATATAGTCTGTTTTCAAATAAAATGAGACTAATAAGAAATGGTATAAGATACCTTATTTTATTCATATACTTTCCCCTTTCTTTTGCTTAGTTATGTTCATATCTGATAATGAAAGTTTCAATCCTTCGCTATGGGAAGAACAGAGGAAGCAGCGTGCACAAGTGGCTTTTGAATGTGATGAAGATAAAGATGAAAGGGAAGCTCCACCCAGGGTAAGTAATGGCTTTAGATCATAATGGTTTGTTGAACTTTTAGTTGATTGTGAAAAAAAAATAAAAAATAAAGAAAAAATTAAACATTCAATCAACATACTATTTAGTATTTTTCAAATACAGTGTATTTGAGGTATTAACTACACAGATTTTTACCACTGGGTTTTTTCTCTCTGAAGGTTTTGAACCTTAAGGCACTTGTGACTCTTTTAAGGGCTATGCTTTTCACTCAGAAAACCTGAAGATGTTGTCTAAGTGAATAAAACCTTGAATAATCCGATGCTCCTTGAACAGAGGAAAGTACTTACTGAAATTAATCAGATCAAGGTCTTTTCAGTGAGTGAAGGGGAGACTGTCTGAAAATCAACTAAATATTGCCATCACTTTCTTTATTAGAGAAATGACATTAAAATGTTTGCCAACAAGTTGCCTTAGACTTATGGCAACCCTGTGAATAAGAGACATCCAAGGGCAACATTATCAACAGCCTTACTCAGATCTTGCAAGTTCAGGGCTGAAATGATCAAAATGTAATAAATGCAAATATAGATACATGTTATGTAATCTGGAAAGCTGAATATGATCTGTATCTAGAGAAGCAGCAATCTGGAAATGCCATGAATTAACTGAAAATTAAATTGACTAAAAATTTGCAGGCGTTTCCCCCTCCATTCAGCAAGGTTAGTTTTATGAATACAATGTCATGCTTGTTCTTTCTTTGCTTCTTCTGTAGATAATGGTTATAGTAATTCTCATTGGAATTTCTGTATTGCTTTTTGTAATGTGTCATCTAAAAATGAATTTCTTTTATTTAGGAAGGTAATTTGAAGAGGTATCCAACACCATATCCTGATGAGTTAAAGAACATGGTCAAAACAGTTCAAACAATAGTACACAGATTGAAAGATGAAGAAAATACAGAAGATGCTAGCAAAGAAACAAAGCAAGAGAGTCAGCAGGTTACAGTGAAGGATGTTGGTGTAAAGGTTAGTGTCAGTATTCCCTTCAAATCATATCAATTTTCTCTAAGATGATGCAATCGTTTTTTGGGAAATACTAAAACTTGAATCATATTTTTATGCAAGGCCATAAATTATTGCAAAGAGAATTGTACTTGATGTATTCTAAAAAGCTACTAAAGGCCACTGAAATGATTAAACTAAATGGAGAACAAATCATTGACAGACACATGAAAGTTATATGTTGGCTATTGTTAGTGGTGTTAGTAATTGAATCAGTTAATTCTCTACTTTGATTGTTATTTTTTCCCTGTTGAATCTACAAGATTTTCCTGATCTGGTTGTTCATTTAACATGTACGTAATTGTTAGTTTTGAATAAAAAGTTGGCTGCTCTTTTCTGTGCTTTACGATCTTATCACGAGTATTTCCATAGTATTTCTACTTCTGATACAAAAGTTTATGTTAAAGAAGTAAAGTGCAGGACCACTTCTACTGTATTTTAATTGGTGACGCAGTTTTAGACAAGGCATTTTTAGATTTTTAAACTGGATATAGCAAATTTTAAAAAATTAAAAACATTAAGACATCCTTGCTGTGTTTGGGAGACTTTCTTCTAATTCTTCTCAGTAGAGCCTTGGACTCCTCCCAAAATATTTATCTGACAGCATCTCTGGGGGAGAAAGTGGAGATGGGTGTTGAAAGGGAAGTGTATTTTTAATAGTAAACATAACTAATACATGCTGCCACTTGACCTATGTTACTAATCACAGGTGCAATTACCTTTGCTTTAGCAGATTGAATTTGTTGCACAGATCCATTCCTTTTCACTCAGAATATCTCAGTCATTGACATGTAGACATCTGTTCACAATGTTCAACAAATGTATTTTTTAACTGGAAAACTTCTTACTTACAATGCTAACTTTAAATCTGCCATAGACTTCAGAGGTTACACCAGTGAAGAACAAAATGGAAAATGAGCATAATATGATGGGAAATTGTGTGCAGAAGCTTAATGAATCAGATGCTGATAACGGTTCTGGAAATGTGCAGACAAGTGCTCAAGTTAAAACATCAGAGAACACAAAGCCAATTGCTAATCATGAAGATACTCTTGAGGTACTCTGCCATATGTACTGTGTAAAGTGCAATAAAATGGAATTATTTTTAAATGATGATGATAATGAGCTACCTTGAAGGCTTTGTTGATGGAAAGGAGGAAAACAAATATAACAGATTAATAGATAAAATGTTTAAGTGCGCTTAAGCTGGAATTCTTTTGAAGTGTATGGGGTGATCACAGGAGATGGCAGGAGGTGAAGTGTTCTGGCTGTAATGGCTTTGAAAGAAGCAAGGCACTGGAGAAATATTGTCCAATTTTCTTCACTATTGCTGCTTGGCCCTGGGACACAGTGCAACTGGTAACATAATTGATTATCAGTTTCTGGTCTTATACTGAAGCCCTTGATACAATTTCCAGAGAGTAAGGGCCAGTAAATAGAGTGGAGCTTCCATCAGAGTAGACATGCATAGGCTCTGTCTGTTAAAATACTGTTACAGCACCAGATAACTTCTTGACTAGCCAAGATTTAATTAATAGTATTAATTATAGTATTATAGTATTAATTATACTATTAATTATAGTATTAGTATTAAAACAATTCAGATTACACCCATAAAAACATATAAAATGATACATGTATTTCAGATCTTAACAGTTGTCAATTAATGTTGTTGTGTGAAAACAATAAATCTGCCTACCGAAAGACAGGTTCTCAGAGAATATTATTTTTGTTATATGTTCAGTAGTAGGAATTGTATTAATAAGTGTAGTGTGCTATGAAACCATTATCCGTTTTCATATGTCTGCAAGTGAATTTAAATTTGTGAAAATAATTCTATTCAGCAATTTCTCTTTCTAGTCTTCTTTTATGATTTCCTTGTTCAAGGACTACGTCCTTTAAATTACCTAGTTACACAAGTTTTTGTGAAGGTTGAAACGTTCTGAAATTGGTTTTGGTGTATTGCCATTAATGCATTGCAGTGGGAAGTGGCTAAGCACTCCATATTGCTCTGTGGCTGGAGGTTGTACCCTTTCAACTATCAGGAGCACAGGAATCAGGGACATAGATGAGACGTATCTTCACAAGTCAAGTAGCTGTTTCTGAATCTTATTATAGAAAATGAGAGAAATGTTGGGCCTTCTCAAGCCACAACACGCACAGCATAAATGATAATAGATGTACATGGCTCGGTTCAAAAATAAAACTATAAAAATAGATATTCTTGTTGAGGGTAGAACTTGATCAACATGACTTGAAAATATATATTGCATGTTTCTCTTCTTTAGCATGAATCAGAAGATCTGTCCTCTGATGAAGAAATGAAAATTGCAGAAATGAGACCACCTCTCATAGAAACATCCATTAACCAGCCAAAAGTTGTAGCACTTGGCAGTAGCAAAAAGGGTAAGGCATCTTTCAGTACAATCTGTTTGGTTCCAAGACCCTTCATAGATACCAAAATAAGTGGAATCTCAAGATYCATCATATACAGTGGCATAGTAAAATAGTGTTCCTTATATAAAATGACAAGCTCAAGATTTGGGGGTTTTTTTTGGGGGGGGGGGAGAATTGAATATTTCCAAGCTATGGGTGGTTGAACTGGTGGTTACATAATCTGGATGTGAAGGACATGCTGTATTTAGCATAAAACAACTATTTTTCTCTTTAGACAGATTTGTAACAACACATTAAACTTTTCATAACTGAAAATTAAACATTAGTTGTTTTTTTTAAAAAAAGTAAGGGAAACCTAGTGAAATTCTTCTGCGGCTTATTTTCAAGTGCCTTGCCACTTGGAATATAGTGTTACAACTAATTAAAATCATAGCACACACTTTATCCTCTTGTATTTCCTTCAGTTAGATGAAGTAAATATTTCAGTGCTTGAGGAATAAGCATAAGCACATATCTTGTTTGTGTTCAAGTTTTTCTAAAGTGAAAAAACCCCTGTAAAATTTAGAATATAACTTCCAAAATATTGTCTTTCATGGCCATATAGCCCAAAAAAAACCTACAACTATCTGGCTAAGTACTGCATTGAAACCTTTGATGCAGTTTCTATCAGTTGCTACAACTATACATATTCATATCTTCCTGTAAAGTGGTTTAGCTATACGATGCATATTTTATCTGTTTAGTATTTTTATTCTGGTTTATTTTATAAACATATTTATTTTTGCTGGACATCTATCAATTACTTAATGAATAAATAAATAAATGATTTTGTAAACTTGTGAAACATTTTAAAAACTATTTCCTTCCTAAATGTTCATGGGGGAATATTTAATGTGCAGTCACATGAAGGTTAAAAACACGTATCTTTGTGGCTACTTGTGAAACCAGGATGATATGAGCACATGTTTCATAATTTTAAGTTGTGTGTGTTAAGTATTGATGAAACATAAATTTCAGCATTAAGGAAAAAGTGGTGCACATCAATAATTACACAGATATAATACACCATTTCAAAATAAACTGACATTCGTTCTTTATGAGATCCAAGAAGTAGAAGTCAAGTTGCTAAATGATGAGAATCTTTTAACCAGTTCATTTTTAGTTCAAAGTAGTTTCATTTTTCAATTAGTTTCAGTTAGGCACATTTGGTTGGCTATGTACATTCTGCTCCTTTAAATGGAAAATGTGGTAGTATATGCATATACTAAACAGCGAACTTTTTCTAGATGACAGTAAAGATCTGGATTCCTTGTCCGATGACCCCACCCACAACAGCAACCAAAATAACAGCAATTGTTCCTCTCCTTCACGAATGTCTGATTCAGTTTCTTTAAATACTGACAGTAGCCGTGAAGCATCACTGAGTTCTCCAGACAAAGAAACTAACTTGGCTGTCTCTTCCAAAACCAGGTGTGAGAAATAATGTATAGTAAGCTCACTGATGTTTTATTTTCTCTTTTTGTATTGACTTCTGGATTGACATTTGAAAATGTTGGGATATATTTTAGTTACTAAATTGCCAGTTTATCATTTTATATACTATTTTCTCTGGCCACTGATTTGGTCATGTTGTTCTTCTGGTGAGGCTTGCTTGCTTGCAGTATGATTTGCTCTCTTGTCTAGAAATGGTGTCTGCACTTGGCAAGGAGCCAAGTGTAGTCAGCTCAAGATGAAAGCAAGAGGAGATTGTCTCATCTGTAATACTAAGATGGCATCAGAGTTGGAAAGTGGTAGGACCTGGAAACAAGCATCTTCATCCCCAGGTCAAGCAGAAGTTGTTTTCTTTCTTTGCTGCTTGTCCCATTGTATTAATATAGCTAAACAGGAAAATGGCTCCCCGTGATGCCACAATATTTGCAGTTGATAAGTGGCCAGGAAGATAACAGCGGGAAGAGGCAATACATAACAGCAGTTCTACAATACCATTCTGAATACTATACCATTCCAAACTCATAATTTTGTAAGATAAGCAGAGCTGAGTTTGGTTAGTACCTGAATGGGATACAGTTAGAATATAACTGGGATTAGGAAAGGATCATTCTTGAAACACCAGAAAGCTGCTACCGTTCAGAATGGAAAATGTTTGGCTAGCCCATGAATGAAATTCATGCAGTATTCCAAATGTTATTCCCACTGCTGAGTTAGGCGGATTAATGATATATAACAGTAATGCTTCCTTCATTATAACCTTCTTTTTTTTAAAAAAAAAAAAACCAAAACATTATTTTATTTTTGCTTTCAGGCAAGAAGATGAAAATTATAATAGTCTCTTACAAAATGGAGGTGAAATAAATGTTACAGCAGAAGAAAAATTGGCTGCTCAAAACACTGTAACTAATTTCAATGACTTTAGGTTCAGTATTGAAGAGAAATTGGCTCTAATAGAGAGAGGAGTTGAGCTCACTAGTGCTACTGATGAGTCCCACAAATTACACCAAATTAATAAGAATATCTGTAAATTGACTGAAGAGGAAAGAACACAACCAAATGTACTGCAAGAAATAAAAACACAGGAAATATCAGTAAAGGGACTTTTAAATAATAATAAAGAAGTAATGGAGCACTTGGAAAATGGAAATAAATATTCTAATCTGTGTCCTCTGAACAATGTTAATGGACATTCTGATGAAATTCCTCCCTCTTCAGGAAGATCAGAGCTGAAGAGAAGTGCTACTATTGATACCGATTCTTCTTCAGAAATGGGTCTTTCAAAGAGTACTGAAGATTTGTCTCCACAGAGAAGTGGGCCAGTTGTAAAATCTCATAGCATAACTAATATGGAGACAGGTGCTCTGAAAATCTATGATATTATCAATGACAATGGATCTCAGCAGCCAACTCCAGTAGTAAAATCAACAGCCATGGTTCCAGAAGGAAAAAATATAGTCCGAAGCAAGTCAGCTACTCTCCTCTATGACCAGCCATTGCAAGTATTTTCTGGGTGTTCATCATCATCTGATTTAATATCGGCAAAAACAGTTTTCAAATTTGATTCAAATCACAATCCTGAGGGAACTAATACGATAAGAGGACAAGGGACAAATACTTCACAACCATTCAGTCCTCCCCAGTATAATATCCAATACAGTAGCAGTATAGCAGCCAAAGAATCCTTGTGGCCCCCAAAGCAAAATTCCCTAGGTGAACAAAACTGCTTACCTCCTCAACGTTTGCCAAGGTCAGAAACTATAGACAGCTGCAATTCTGTGAAACATTCTGCCAACATGAATTTCTCCAATCATAATAATGTTAGAGCTACTGCTGCATACACTATGCATCAAAGAATGGGTGGGAGGCATGCAGAGATGTGGGCCGTTCCACCGAATGACAGACTTGTTTCTGGAGCAACTCGAAATACTCTCCAGCGTCAGAGCAGTGTCTCCTCCACTGCTTCAATGAACGTAGCTGATTCTGGACCTCCACGGCGACCTCAGGTTCCCGAAAGAGATTATTTAACATACAGGGATTTACACTCAATGGGAAGAGTACCAGCTATGATGTCAGGGCCACAGAGACCACTTTCTGCTAGAACCTATAGTGTGGATGGGCCAAATGTACCTCGACCTCAGAGTGCTCGCCCTTCACCAAATGAAATACCAGAAAGAACTATGTCAGTTAGTGACTTCAATTACTCAAGGACTAGTCCTTCTAAACGAGCAAACCCTCGAGTAAATTCCGAACATTCTCTGCTGGACCCTCCAGGAAAAAGTAAAGTTCCTCCTGACTGGCGGGAACAGGTGCTGCGACACATTGAGGCCAAAAAAATGGAAAAGGTAAACAGCTTTAATATATGTACTTCAACTTGCCATCTTTCTGATTCAGGCTATGAAATCCTACCATTTTAAGTGATGCATGTTCTATAGTGAAAATATATTTTCAAACTCCAGTCATCTGTTTTTAAATGTACCAGCAGACTTTACTTAGAAACGAGCTCCAGAAATCTTGGAACATTATTAGTCATGATGTATAATATGCAATAGTTGATGTATTCTAATGTTAACAAAAATGCCTCTGTCCTTACTCTGACAATTTAATATCAAGTCAAGCAATTTTTTAAAAGCAAGGTGAATTTCTGTCAGTGCTTTGTAGTGGTGTTGCCCATTTATTCATTATGCGACTATAGTTAAGCTTTGTGTGGCATGAGATGCAAAAGCAGCTTTGCACATTATAAACCCATTCAGAAAAATGTGACATATGTTGATCTCCTCCAGGGAATTTGCAACAATTCCCACTTCACACACACACATGTATCCTAGATTTCAGAGGAGCATAATAACCTGTATATTCTAAATTTCTGAATGGATTTGACTGTTTGAGAGTTTAATGGGGTTAGAGGGAAGGAATGTATATGATAAGCTTCTTTATTTTTAAAGATTTTTTAAAAAATTCTGGAAGTGTCAAAAATGTCAGTATTAGTGAATATTTTTTAAGGAAAGGAAATTTTCCTTCATTTAATCTCTGGCAGTCAGAAGTCCTGGGTTGATTCTGCTTAATTATTGTCATTAGCAGTTTTAATAGAGTCAATTATTAACGCTTCTAAAAAAATGTTGTGACAGGCAAGTTATACATTATTTTCTTCTTGGACTAAGTGCAGGAATATTACTTTGCAATTACTGTAACATCAGAACATACGTAAATAATGGTTTTGTTGGAAAACTAAAATTTATAAGAAAACCATGGGAAACTTCGTATCATCATGGCTGCCTTGTCTTTCCAACATTTGGGCATGAACACTTGATAACTGTGCAAGAAACATATGTAATTAACCTTTTAAAACAGTGGGTGCATAAGGATTATTTCTTCAGTAAACTATTATACATACTATTGTAATAAGAGATTTTAAAACAGAGTTCAGTGAAACAAAATTGTAAGGGATCATAGTAAAATGTCTTATATAAATTTCAGGATAATGCTTCATGCATCAGAAATCAATAAGACTTTTATTATGTATTCTCTCAGAATGTATGCATTATCTCAATATTCTGAACACATGTGACTCTTAAGCATTACAGTGTAAGGGACCTTGTGACATTGACAGCAGTCCTCTTAGGCAAATTGGACATGATAACCTGTATTCATACAGACAAAAGTTAACTGGGAAGGTCTGTAGTGAATTCTTGTGGCCAGTACTCGCTTTTGAATGGAAGAGACATCATTATTTACCACTATCACCAGCGTGAAGCATACTGATTAAATTACTTAAATGCTCCCAAGCACATTTTCTGTGTGTGTGTGTGCCTGTGAATGTGTTTGAAAATCGAAAAGAGCTGAACTTCAAACTATCTCAGTCTTGCAAATTTGCCCATTTGGGTTAGGACTATCCCATCCTAAACCAACTATATTCCATTTTAGATAAGTTTCGTGTGTTTTGCACAGTTGGCCATGAAGCTCTTCCAATAGTGTTTGATACACCCCAATGTTACTATGTGTTCAAGAAAATCCACCTTTTTAGACAGCTCTATGTGAGTACATGTCTTAGTGGACATTTTGAAGCATTACAGGGCAAAATAGTGTGTATTGAAAAGCATTGCAGTAATTGTTTTGGACTCCTGGGAGTTGTCAAGGGTCTTCAAATGGGCCTCTGACACCTCCTGCATTGGGAGTATTCTGGAGGATCTTTAAAAGAATAATAATAGCGTTTTAGCAAAATAATGTTTTTCTACCCCAGGAAAAGGGCACAAAAATTGCCACAGTGTTTGCATGCAGTCTGCACAATTGAGATTTGGGCAGACTGCATGCAAACACTGTGGCAATTTTTGCTCTGTGGCTGAAAATGTAATTTCTTTACCTATTTCTGAGATGAATACAGGTTGGCAGCATGTATATGTGTTCTGTACAATAAACAACCCCCTCCCCCAAATAAACAGAGAATTGCTCTTTCATGAGCATTTAGTAATGTTTTGATGCCTTTTAATGATAATTGGCACTGATAAATTCTGTTGTATGATTTGTTTCTATGCTCCTTGTTTTATGTGAAGTTTCAGTGTTTTTATTATAGATTTCCTTGAATCCCTGCAAGGCAGAGGGTATGATTTTATAGACTGAACAAGTCAATGAATATCTTTTTGTTCCCACTGTTGAAGGCACCAAGGACTGCTTCAGTTTAAATTCCTATTTTTCTGATCTGTTGCAATCCATATTGGACTTTTTCTCTGACCCAATGGATAATTTACACATTTGAGAGACCTGTGCAAACATAAAACATTTACTGTGTTTAGCTGTTATGAAAATAAATGTCTTCAGGAAAATCACCTGCCAAAACGTGAAGGATAAGAGTCTTTGATTTTGGCTGGTAAGAAAGCTCAAGGGCCAAGTATGGAGAGAGAGCCAGCATGACAATAACTAAATTAGGCTGTCGGAAAAATCTGATGTGGTTTTTTGGGAAAGTGAATCTGTGTGTTCAGTCTTTAAATGTCATCAGCAATAGTTCTTCCCTTCCCCTTTCCTTCCCCAGAAATAATGCACATCTGATGATAGACTAGAGAGGAATGATACAATTTGCAGTGCCTCCTTCTTTGGGTACTTGGTATTGTATTTTGTTTTTCACTCTCTCCTTAGTCTGTGTTCAAAGCGACTTCCCCCACGCTCTCTTTTGTTTCCCTTTCCCAGCAGTATTCTGGAATGCAGCACCAGCTAAAGAGGCTTTGCAACTCCAGCCCTCACCCCCAGCCTGAAAACATATTCTAAATTCTTCCCAGACAACCAGCTCCTGCTGTTTCATTTCTAATGCAAGTAGATCAACAAGGAAGATTTGCTTTGTTAATTGGTTGGTTAGAAAAGAAGGAGCAATTTTTTATGCAGAGTAGAAGAATTGTGAGTTCAATCCAGGCTTAAGGAGAGCAGAATAATACTAACTGGACATGCCTGTGGTTAAAAGTTAGGGGATTTATTCCTTTCCTGGCTCTAATTTTTTGGTGATTAGTCCCTCATTTACAGCCCATTCTACCTCCTGAAAATCTGTTGCTTCCCTTCCTCAGCAATATTCTCCCTGAACATTATAGGAGGTTGTGTTGGCAGAGGAGAGAGAGAATGGGGCAAGCCACTTCTCCCCTTTCTTCTGTGGGAGCTTCTGTTGGTTCCTGAGCCTTTCCATGAGCAAGGAGCCTTCTTGTTGCAGATGGAGAAATTTGGGTCCATTTATGTGGACTTCTCTTTGGGTTTGAAAGGGTTCTGTAACACTAAGCATGCACTCACAAAGACCTCTCTTTTTCAAGTTATGTTTTACTTTTGAAATGAAAACTGATTGAACGGGTTTTTAAAGCATATAATGAAAGAACCATAATTGGAATGACACTCAGTTTCTAAGTTGAGAGTCATTTAGACCATACATTTGAGCTTACCTGGGATATCTGTTGGCTATTTCTTGAAATTGATCAGCAAGGTGATGTGTATAAAATTACTTTTGAATATATGTAAAACTGCTCAGTTAGATCACTGTTAATGATTATATGGTCCATACAGCTTTAAAAGTTATGTTTGATTGAGATTGTCAAAGTAAAAAGTCTTTCTGTTTTGGATAATAAGGCTATAATCACTAATTGCATAGTAGTCTATGAATATTTCTAGTAATTTGAAAAAAGTGTTGGAGAGGCGGTAGTTAGGTCTGGGGAGTAGTCTAGTTTCCATGGCTGTAATCATATACAAGCCTTGACTTAACAGTTTTATCGTTGTTTAAACCATAATTAAGAAAAATAAGAATTTGTCCTAGTTGAAGCATAAAAGGAAACCAGACAAAATCGAAAACATAATTAAAATTTCTTAGTAACGAGATTGTAATTACGTTTTCAATTTTGTCTGACTTTCTGTTATGCTTCAGCTAGGGCAAATTCTTACTTGCCTTAACTATGGTTTATTTTAGAGTTGAAGATCCACAGCCCATAAGCTGTATTAACTCACCAAGAATTCCCTGCTCTTTGTCACCAACAACTTTGTTGTTGTTGTTGCTGTTGCTGCTGTGTACCTTCAAGGTTAAACTCTCAAGGGCTTTTCCAACAAAATTAGTTCAGAATGGGTTTGTCTTTTCTTTCCTTTTTGGGTAAGAGTGTGACTTGCTCAGGGATAAGTAGGGATTTGGATCCAGATCTCTAGAGACTTAATCCAACACACCATGTCAGCTCACTCCAATTCAGTACATGCCATTTTTCCCCACTGCCACTATCAGCTAAAAAGTTCAGTTTGGATTTGGATTGCTGGAAGAAGGGATGGAGGGAAGTATCTCACTTCCCAGTGAGCAAGTAGAATTGCTGATGTATGTGTGTATAAGTGCATGTACATGGGTTGTTGTGAATTTTCCAGGCTGTATAGCCATGTTCCAGAAGCATTATGTCCTGACATTTCGCCCACATCAATGGCAGGCATCCCCAGAGGTTGAGAGGTCTGTTGGAACCTAGGCAAGTGAGGTTTATATATCTGTGGAATGCCCAGGGTGGGAGAAAGAACTCTTTGTCAGCTTCAGGCAAATGTAAATGTTGCAATTGACCACCTTGAATAGCATTTAATGGCCTTGCAGCTTCAAAGCCTGGCTAGTTGCTGCCTGGGGGAATCCTTTTTTTGGGAAGTGTTGGCTGGCCTTGATTGATTCTTGTCTCAAATTCCCCTTCTTTTTGAGTGTTGCACTTTATTTAGAGTTTGTTTTAAAAATACTGGTAGCCAGATTTTGTTCATTTTCATGGTTACTTCCTTTTTGTTTAAATTGTCCACATGCTTGTGGATTTCAGTGGCTTCTCTGTGTAGTCTGATATGGTAGTTGTTAGAGTGGTACTGCACTTCTGCGTTCTCAAATAATATGCTGTGTCTAGGTTGGTTCAGCAGATGCTCGGCTATGGCTGACTTCTCTGGTTAAATTAATCTGCAGTGCCTTTCACGTTCTTTGATTCGTATTTGGGCACTGCGTTTAGTGGTCCCTATGTAGACTTGTCCACAGGTGCCTGGTATACAGTAGACCCCTGCAGAGGTGAGCGGATCCTTTTTGTCCTTTGCTGAACATAGCATTTGCTGGATTTTGTTAGTGGGTGTGTAGATTGTTTGTATGTTGTGTTTCTTCATCAGCTTCTCTATGTGGTCAGTGGTTCCCTTGATGTATGGCAAGAACACCTTTGCTCTGGGTGGATCTTTGTCTTTACTCTCATATAGAAGTGTGTATATTACCCCTGACCTCTGAGTCAACATTACATGCCACTCTTGCCATTATTAAAAGGCTGCACCCCAATTTATTTGAATAAGCTGTATTTGTAAGCTATAGTATAAAGTTGGTTTTGTTTGGACAAAATATAGTTGAAATGTATCCATAGTTTTGGTTTGGATAGAATAATGACAAGCTGTAGTAAGGTGGAAAAAAACCCAGTCAAATGATCTCATGCTCTCTCACAACTGTTGGCGGAGGGAAAGCATGTGAACCTAAGATGTGCTCAGTCTTAGTCTGATAATATTAAATATAATCTAACATTATGTATAGACAAAGCCAATTTCCTCTGTACTTTTATTCTGACACAGTGACTGCTGAGGAGAAGCCACACAGCTTGTGCATATATCATACAGTGTATCAGAATGGTTGCAAAACTTTTTATCATGGCAAGAAAACACTCTTAAAGGACTTCCTTGTAACAATTCTAACCTTACGGTGTATGTGGTTTCCTAAATAAAAGCAAGAGCTCAAGGTATATACGTAGCAACCATTAATAGTCTACTACAGTTGTTCTGTAGTTTAGAATGATCTCATTTCTTAAGTAATACATAGTATGCTTGGATTGTTTGTTTAGGAAACACCCATGTTCTCTCTCCTAATATTGCTCTTTTGAAGAGTTCATTTAAAAGGTACCTTTTACATAGAAAAGCTTTATCGTGGAACATTTATTTCTAGTTCCAATGGTAGTGTAGGCATGGCTGTCTTTCACCATTTCAATGTGTTCATTGGACTTCGATGGTTATTTTAAATGGGCCCCTGTAGAGATTGAATTCAATAAAGGTCACATGAAGGATAATGAAGTCCACATGTGAAACTGGTAGAAAAGCCATTAAAAGAATTTAGGCTAAAGTACTCAAACTAAGCTCATGGTGTTAGCTTCGTAATGGTAGACATGAATAATTGTTGTCACAAGTTTATACAGACCCATGGCACTGAGATTGGAATGAGAGAGATGCACCCTGTTGTGTCCTGATCCCCGTGGGAATATTTGATTCCCCCTCCCCCAAACTGGATTTGAACTTCCATTTTAAAAGGAAAGCCAGTCTGCAAATCCTTCTGTTTACCACAATGTAATGAAAAGTGTCCATCCAGTTATTCTATCCAGTTGTCTGTTTGAAAATACCATGTTTATTTGTGAGTAAGTTGAAAAACATGATCCCCCAAACCTGGGTTGACTTAAACAAAGGTCAATGCTGAAATGTTTAATAGGAGTATACAGTATGAGTACAAGCTTCTTTGCTCCAGTTAAAAATTAAGGCCACAGCAGTTTCTCTGCAGAGAGGCTTATGTAGTAAGCCCTTATTCAAAATGACTGCTGGTGGTCCTTTCCACCTCAAATGACAAAAATGGTGGGGTCATCACATTCCTCAGGTCCCCCACATTGCTGCTGAATGCTGCTTGGGCCAAAAGAGAAAGTGAGGGGAAAGAGACGGCTGCTTTTCTTCTTCCGGTGTGGGCAAGGAAGAGTAATGGGAAAGAAATGTCTGCCTTTTCCTATCACTGCACATGAGTGCAAATTGCAAAACTGATATGCAGTATTCTAGTCAACAGACATGCTCAGCCAATGTAGGAGTAGAATGAATGAACTGAATCACTTTAGACCGTGGTTTTCCAAATGGTGTGTTGTGACACTTTAGTGTATTGGCTGCAGTGCATAGGCGTGTCATGTGAATGTAACAAGAATGGACAAAAATCTTGGAAAAGTATGTTATCTTACAAATTATATATTTTTAAAAAATATACTGTAAATTAAAGGTTTTCATGAGATATATTGGATACACATATAATTCGTTATTGCAGTTTTTGTGTGTCTTTTAAGGGGTTGGTTTAACCTCTGGTTTGCTTGTAAAATTGAATTACTGTGCCATGAAATAATGCATGTCTGAGAAGTGTGTCACCTGTATGAAATATTTGGAAAGCTCTGCTTTAGGTACAAGAGGGAGTTTTTTTTCCTATGAGCCAAATTTTCTGAAAGTTTAAAGGAACAAAACTTTAGTACACTGAGCAGAGAGATTTAGTCCCAACTCACTCTAATTCAAAGAATACAGTGTGACTCCTGTATCCACAGTTTCAATTATCCACGTCTGACAAAATATATCCTATCTAGGCATTTTCTATATCCTCCAGCTTGACTCTGTAGTGTTCTTGGGCCATACACCCTTCATTTCAATAGTGTTTGCTGTTATTTGCAGTTTTCTTATCCACGTGAAGTTTGGAAACATATTCCTTGTGGATACGCCAGTCATATTGTACTTTTTTTAATGTCAGGAAGCATTAATAAATCCAGTACAGTTTGAAATAATCTGTTCTACAACTCCAGGACTCTAGTACCTCGTTAAGCTTCATGAATAAGCTAAAGTTCATGTTTTACAAACCATGTGATGTTATATGCATATGTGCCTTTAGTTCATTTGTTGTCCTATGGTGATCTCATGAATTTCATTAGGCTTTTCTTAGGCAAGGAATGCTCAGAGGTGGTTTTGCCAGTACCTCCCTCTGAGATATAGCCTATAGCATTTGATCATTAATATAAGAGTCACTGCAAAATAGGAGAGAACCAGACTCCATTTGGAAGACCGGAAGTCTCAGATCACATTATTGGCATAAGTATAAAAGGATCATTCTCCTGTATGCTTTGACCAAGATTACCTTCTTCACTAGAGGCTCCTGAAATGCATGGGCCTGGACAAGTGATAAAGACTTTTTTGGTAGCTACATCCAGTTGAACATCTTATTCATATGGGAATAATGTTGCTAATCATTGCAACATTTAAAAATGTTTTCATTTTTAGGAAAGCTTTTTCCTTTTAGTTCTGTTGCAAATTATTCTAATCAGCTTGTGAGTCCTTTCTCTTTAACCTCTGCCAATTTTCTTTTTAATAGTTTTTTTAAAGTATCTTATTTTCTGGTTTTTAAATATTTTTAGCTGCTATGAAGGAAGATTTTTTAAAGAAAATAAACATCACTCCTTTTCCTGAGGAGGTATCAGAAACTGCCCTGAAAATGCTTATAATATTACTTTGTGTCTATCTGATTTTAGTAATATGGCAAATATTTTAGATACAATGGCGTCTTTACAATATCCAATTCACTTTTCAATAGCTAATGTTTACAAAAATTCTTTCTTTGAGGTTTGTTTCATCTTTTCTGTTCTGTCGTAAAAGTTGGTAACAAAGCAGTATCATAATGATCAAAATGAGTATTGGAATGTATTTTCACAACATCATAATGACATTAGAAATTCTAAACTTGGTAAATCTGAAACTGGTCTTCAAAATGTGTCAGCAGTATTGATTAATTCCAATGTGCTAATTTTTGAAAGATCCTAAAATACGATCTACATTTTTACTAAAGAAATAATGCAGTAGTTTTGCTACTCAGAACATTTATTTCTGAAACAATACTTCAGTTGTCCCCTTTGTGTCAACATAGCTGCAGATAGGATATGTTGACTATGTTGAAAATGTGACCACTAAATTTCTGTTTTCCTTGGTCACATGAACACTTGGATGGATTTGTTTTCAAGTAATTGGTGTTTGTATTATGTCAAGCTGCATGTTCAGTTATACTACAAGAAATCACATGGCTTGTCACTGAGATTTTATATCACAATGATTTTACACCATGTATGCATGTTTTTGTTTTGTTTTGCATGAAATGGAATACATGTCTGTACTCACTATGTGTGTAACATGTCCTGTGGTTTATGCATGCAGCACTAATCTCTGTTATCTATCCCCTCTTTATTCAGAGCATGCTGTCTAGGTCCTTTAATTCCAATTATGCTCCAGTTAGCAACTTTTACTATGGCAGCTCTAGGGATCTGCATGGCAGCCAAGGCAATGTTGCCTTGAGTGTTGCAGACGGAAGGAGCTCTGGTGTTCACATTGTTCGTGTGAGTACATGCATAAAAAGATGATTGTTAGTAAGAAATTGGAAAGGGCATGCACTATGTCTTTCAAACTATGCACTCTTGGAATTCATGTAATTCTACAGTAATATCATGATTCAATAATGCTAATTATTGAAAATCTTCCCCCTTAATATTTGTGAGTTTTATGCTTTCTGTTAAAGCATCAGAGGTGGCCAGTTCTAAAAACAGAACAGCAACAGTGCTCTAACTTCATAAAAATAATAATGTGGTGTTTCTTAGCCACAAATTAAAGCAGATGGCATTACCAGTTTTGTCATGTATGTGGAATACACCCTGCATTGAGTGTATTCTCAGTACTGGCAGTCTCTGAGTTACAAACATCCAACTTTCAAATGACTCGTGTGTGTGTGTGTGTGTTTAGCTGGAGTTACAACTAAAAATGTGCCTATTCTGATTTACAAACAAATTCAACTTAAGAACAAACCTACGGAACTTAACTTGTTTGTAACGTGGGGACTGCTTGTATTGTTTAAGCATACCTGACATTGGTGTAACTTGCTTCTGCTTTCAGCTTATGATATCCGATATTTTTTTAAATCTGTAGTTTGAACTTTTGTGTATTTCCATTGGCTCACACTGATGTTTTAGTGTCTCTGTTCACCACCTCCCTTGCTGTGTGTTTCTCTTTATTTTTCAAAGTACAATTTGAGCGGGGACCTTTTCACAACATTCTTTACTGATGAAACATTTGAAAAAGTATCTTTGCACACTTGGCTAGAATACTACTCTGCTTTGGAGTTAATTTTCTACATCCAGATAAGAGTGCATGTTAGTTTTCTTGTTCTTTTTAGTCAAAATTATTGATAGAACACCATATTTCTAAAAATGATTTATGAACCTCCCCTCATTTTTATCAATTATTACCAAGTTTGCTATTTTTGCCCATGCCTTTCTCTTCTGGAATAGTCTATCTTCCTATTGACATCGCAATCCATCCTACTGATCACACTTGAACTTCTAACTTCATTTGGTCTCAGTTTGTTTCCAAGCTATGTTGCATTGAAACAAAAACATAACTCTCCCTGTTTGCCCACCTGGGAAAAACTCTTGTTCATACTGTGGTTAACTCTCATCTCTCACAACCTTCTTTTGCCACTTCTATTGCTAATTCCTTTTCATATTTTTGCCATTGAAATTTAGTTGTCATTATTGAGATCATTTCTTGCCTTCATGTAAATCTCTATATTAGATTCCTGTCCACTTCTGTATTCTGAACAGCTTCTTGTGCCTTACTTTCCATAATCATATTGCAATATATCTACTTTGTGAACCCCATTTCTCTAACTATATCACTTTCAACCAGTTTGTATACCTCCTGTTCATATTGGGACATACCTTATGCCTTAAATTCTCCTTCTATGATTCCTGTGATCTCTAGGAATCATATATACCTTGTCCCATATTTAAAATTAAGGATAAACATATGCAACTAGGGAAAACCATATTTTTTATTGTAACTCTGACAGCTAGACAAAAAAGAAAATGTCTTCAGTGAACTGCATTGGTGAAGCAAGAAAGGATAAATGTAATTGAACAAACTCAATAGAAGACTTGTGTGAAGTTTGAAAATCCTTAAAATGGCAGCTATTTTTCTGAATAGTTTTATTATGCACTTTAAAGGCTGCAGTGTTTTTGAAAAGCCAGGGTTAGCATTTGTGACCATCTCAGGGTGGATTAATAGGATTAAACTCTAATATACTTCAGTAATATTCATATCAACACAATTAGCAGTTCTGGTATAACTTGTGTGACTTTGTGACAAAAATGTGTATATGCTTTATAATTTAAAGCATCCTCAAACATCAATCCCAGGAGACCAATGCCAAGAGGACGTATTTATTTCTGGTCAGCAGAACTACACATCTACCCCAATTTGCCTCAAAGATGTTGCTCCAGATAGCATTAAAAAGCATCCTGTGCAGGTAATAACTACTTGGTTATGAACCTTTTTGACAAGTATTTTGTCATAAAATATAATATACGTTGTTTGCATGATTGCTGTGTGTGCATACATTCACATAATGCCAAATTATGGTTTAGTATTGTGTCTAAACTTGGTAATTGTTTCAGTGTAAATGATGCACAATGGAGAAAAAAAAGAAAACAACTTTGAAGTGCATAACTCTGGATCTGAACTAGCTGCTACAACTCAAGAAAATTCAATATACAGTGTTCGCTCAGTTATCATGGGTGTTACGTTTCAGGACCACCTGCGATAAGTGAAAATCCACGAAGTAGGGGCGCTATATACAGTAGAGCTGCTTCCGCCTTTGCAGCCCTCCCTCCCTTGCTCGCTCACCCATCCTCCCTCGCGATTTACTGGGCCGAAGTCTGGTTCTGCCACCAGGACCTGGCCCGGTGAGTGAGCAAGCGACGGCGGCAAGGGCAGCAGCAGTGGCAGAAGCAGGAGCCTGGCCATCTCTTCCAGGCTCCTGCTTCTGCCACTGCTTTTGCCTTCGCAGCCCTCCCGCCCTCCCTCGCTCACTACTCACCAGGCCGGGTCCTGGTGGCAGAACCAGGACTCGGTCTGGTGAGTAGTGGGAGGATGGCAGGGTGAGCGAGCGACGGAGGGAGGGCCGCAAAGGCGGAAGCAGTGGCAGAAGCAGGAGCCTGGAAGAGGTGACCAGGATCCTGCTCTTGCCGCTTTTTCTGCCTTTGCTACCCTCGCTCATCCGCCCTTCCTTGCTCACTCACTACTCACTGGGCTGCATCCCAGTGGCAGACCCAGGACTCGGCCCAGTGAGTAGCAAGGAAGGAAAACCATGAAACATCGTGTCCATGAAAACTGAACCGCAAAGTAGCGAGGGAGCACTGTAGATGTAGTAATTAATGTCACTATGTCAATAAATATATCATCACATCAAGTTACCCTTAGAGTGCATATTTCAGCACAAAAAACCTTGACTGTTTTCAGGCAGTGCAGTCCTTTGCATCTTATCTCAGATCTATAGCACAGACTGAGTTTTTCCTGTCTCACATGGGGTCAAGTACAGTATATGTTTATGTGTTTCTCAAAACATATTAACTTCCAAACACTGAAAGAGAAAAATTAATGCAGTACTGATGTAACAATTCATACAGTACATTAAAACAGAGAGTTGAATCAGATTGTGTTGCACATAGAGCAAAACAACTAACGTTCAATAGATTTCAAAATGTCTATTATACTATGCTCTGCATATAGAGTAAGGGGGCAGGGGGATTGTGTGGCAAATTGACCACATTTTGGCTTTTGGAAATGCTGAAAGTCGAATCATTGGTTCTAATTTTTCAATAAAATTTAATTTAATTAATAACAGGTATATAGTACCTATATCATTTGTATTATTTTATTATTACAAACAAAATAATTTTCTTGCTGAAATAATAATAATAATAATAATAATATAATAATAATAATTTTATTTGTTACCTGCCTCTCCTAATGGCTCGAGGTGGGGGACAACACAGGCAAAACACTTCAACATAAAATACATACAACAAGATCAAAACACATCACTATAAGATATACACCAAAAAAATATTACAAAGATCAAAATAGAGTGGCAATAGTATTCCAAAACTCATGGTTTCAAAGATGACTATATAGACCTACTGGAATATATGGGTCTTAAATTCTGACTGCTCATTTAGCTCTCAGAGCTCTTCTAGCAGGTAACTCCACAGTCGTGGGATGGCTGATGAAAAGGTCCTCTGGGCAATGATTGCCTGTCAGATTCTGGCTGGTTGGGCTAAGGGTTCTGCAGAGGACCTCAGTGTCCTAAGGAGCGAGTTATACAGGAGAAGGCAAACCTGTAGTTAACCTGGACCCAAGTTATGTAGCCACATAACTAATTTAGTTTCAACTTAATTGATTACTTCTGATTCTGTGCCTCATTCCGATCGTCTGCAATCTGTCCCAAGCCCCTGTATTCTACTTTAAAAATATAACAAACGGTGTATAACAACAATGTATAACAAACTCCCACAAAATTTGACTGCTTACCTTTTGCCATATACCATTACCAACAAAATGTGTGCATACAAACCAAGTTGAAGATCAGCCAAAAATAGAAGAATTGAAAAATGGAATTGGATTTCCAGTCACTTTTGGACCTCATTTATGGCCATAAATGAGAGTGCATCCAGACCCCAGGGAGAGAGGGAAATTGGCCCCCAATGGAGTAGTTGATCATCCTTGCTTCAGTGTTGGATCCATGACCCCTAGTTTAAATCCATTCTAGCATACTTAAGATAAATTATAACTTAATTTAACATATTTACAAAAATATGTTACTTGAAATCAAATAGTTTCTAGATACTTGGTGAATTTACTCAGATATAATAACTCAGATATAATAACTCATTTCTGTAGATATAAAATGTCCCTCATAAACATGGCATGACCAAACACATTGACAAGTTCTTAATCATTAGTGAACTATTTTAGCACCTGCACATAAATAAAAATAATGAAAAATATACTATTGCTTTCCCTAGAATATTTCCCACCTGGAATAAATTAGTTTATTCCTTTAGGAGCTGTGCACTTTGTTATAGAAAGTGAATTAAATTGGTGCATCATTCAATTTGCTTACATATTAGAGAAGTCAATATTTTAAAAGCAATTGGTAAGCTTTCCAAAATGTATAATCTGAGCTTGAAAATTAAAAAATAGCAGGAATAAAGTGTTTCTTAAGGATATCTCATTTATTCAGATACCATTGACAAATGGACAAATGTGCCAGCCCCCAAGACCTCAGGCAAACTACAGTCAAGTCCATCATGCTGCACCTCAAGCCTCTGTAGCAAGACATCCTTCTAGAGAGCAACTGATTGATTATCTGATGCTTAAAGTTGCTCATCAGCCTCCCTATACTCAGGCCCAAGGTCCAGTCAGGCATGAGCTGTCAAAGCAAGAGGTAAGAGTAAAACATGTTTACCCAAACACTCTCAGATAGTTGTTGCAATGTATTGCAAGCATTTAGCTGTTGGTCTTAGGCAGAGCCTTAAAGGATTGCTATTAGGCATGTGCAATCGATAAAATGTTTCAAAGATCATTAAAAAAATTAGGGGGTGCTGGCGTTTCATTTCTAAACTATAGTTAGTGAAAATTTAGTAACTATAACAAAAGAAATGAAAAGTTGTTACTTTTTCATTATATTAATTGTAAATATTTCTATAATTGGGGAAAATTCAGGGGTTCCTTTCTCCCACATTTTTACAGCTATTGAGGTAAAACTTGCTACAATGGTAGAGCATATTTACCACTGTTAGTCCATCAAGTATCAGAATGTGTCACTTATCCATGGAGTTTTGGGGAATTTTCAAAGTTTTTTTAAACAGCATTTTAAAAACCACACTACAAGTGTTATCTCATTAACACAATATAACAGGGGATAATTCCCCCAACTTTCAAAAATATTCATATAGCTACTGATTTTAGGGATTTAAAAAAAAAGTTTTGACAAAAACATTTTTTAAAAGCCACAAAAGCTATCTTATCGAATGCCTCTCATATATTAACCCATAGAAACCAATATTAACCGATTTTACATTTTCATAGAATCCTAGAGTTGGAGGGGCCCTCCAAGGGCCATCTAGTCCAACTCCCTTCTTCCAGGCAGAAGTGCAGCATCAAAACTTTTTAAATTTTGTCCATTACATTTGGCCCGACCTTTGGTTTTAATTGCATCACAGTGTCATTGTTTTACTGTTTTGCTTGATGTTTTATTATTTGCTTATGAGTTATTCTGTATTGTATGTTGTTGTTTGTCGGCGGCCTTGGCCTTTGTAAGCCGCATCGAGTCCTTCGGGAGATTTTGCGGGGTATAAATAAAGTTAGTAATAATAATAATAATAATAATAACTCTCCTGACAGATGGCCATCCAGCCTCTAAACAAATTCATATGCTTCCCCTATTGAGTTGGAAGGGACCCCCAAGGGCCATCCATTTAGAGATTTCTTCCCAGCTCAGCACTGATTTAAATAAATAAAATGTATTATTATTTCTACTACTACTACTTTCTAGAAGTATCAGTTAGTCCTCCTCTTTGCAGATTCAACCATTCATTGGAACTCTGGCTGGCTACTGCAACGGAGGGACAAATATCTCCCGCCTCCTGATTAAGGCTTTCTGATGTGAGCAGAATTCTGGGAAATGTACTTTAGGGCAGGGCCTTTTGCATTCTCTGCCATAGGGCTCCTTGCCTTCCCAAGCTACATTTCCCAGATTTCTGTGCTTTCTTTCCCAGCGAACGCCTCCTTTCCTCTCCTAATGGCGAGAGGCCATGGATTTAAAGAGGAAAGGCAGCCTTTTTGCTTTTCTTTGCTTTCTTGTTCTGAAAATAAAACTGACTTTGAGAGGCTCCCAAGATTTACAAAATGCAAATGAAAAAGTATTGGGTAAGTTTCGATTCGTAAATTTTTGGCACGGGCCATGCCCACATGTCGGATAGTGCATCGTAAGTATGAAACTAACTAATTTGATACAACTTACAATGAGATACGATTAAAATGCACAAATCTGATTGCTGCGACACTTCATTATAAGCAGGTATCTCCTGCTTAACCCACAAAAATGATGGTGACTCTTGATCTTTACTGCAAATATTTATGCTTTCCCTTCAACTTAAATTGTCAACTTAAAAATGGCAATTATGGAACATGATAGAAATACTGAAACAATAATTGGAAAAGTAAACTGACCAAAGAAATAAAGCAGCAAATAAAAGAAAGATAACAAACTGTACTTGTGTGTAAGTTTGATTAAATGGCTTTTCTTTTCTTAGACTTGAACAAGAAATTAGGCCCCATTTTTAAACATCACTGTTTTACATTCTAGATGCGAGTGAGAATTGAAAAGGACCCAGAACTTGGATTTAGTATATCTGGAGGAATTGGTGGTAGAGGAAACCCCTTCAAGCCTGATGACGATGTGAGTATAAAACAGACCTATTTGTTTTAAAATGATATTTACTGGGTTGTTGTAGGATTTTTCGGGCTATATGGCCATGTTCTAGGGGCATTCTCTCCTGACGTTTCACCTGCATCTATGGCAAGCATCCTCAGAGGATGCTTCAGGAGAGAATGCCTTTAGAACATAGCCATATAGCCTGAAAAAACCTACAACAACCCAGTGATTCCAGTCATGAAAGCCTTCGACAATACAATTATATTTACATTTTTATTTCATATGTATGTTTTTCACTGTTGTGTATACATTAGGGCTGTCCAACCACGGAAAAATTTGTTTCTAAATTCGATTCGTTTTTAGGGGTTTTTTGCGTTTCGTTATTTAAAAAAAATTCCGAAATTTTTCTTTTAAAAAGTTCGATATTTACGAAATTTCGGAAATTACAAAACAATTACGAAACAATTACGAATCGATTCGTTAATGGCGGACGCGACCGCGCAATATGCTAAAAAACCTCCAAATGGGACAGGGGGAACTTCTGAAGCTTCCCTCTCCCTCTGTTGTTGACTGTTGGTGTGATATGTATAATTTTTTTTCACTGATTAAACAAACAACTATAAAACTTGCCCCAGACATGTGGAAATAATAACGAAACGATTTCAAAATGATAACGAAACAAATACAAAACAAATTCGAAACAATTACGAAACGAATTTGAAAATTCATTTCGTTTTTTAGATGCACCTGAATGGTTCGTTATCGCTTCGTTATTTAAAAAAAAACGAATTTTTAACGAATTACGAAATTACGAAACGAAACCGCCCAGCCCTAGTATACATACACACCACCATGTACATATGTTCCTGGGTAAGCTCAGGTCTCTGCCCTTGCCTGCTGGTGCAGCAGGACTCTCTTCCTCTCCTCCTCCTTTCCCCATTGCAGACTTCAAGTGTGGGAGGAGAAGGGATTGCTCCGATGACTTCTATTGAGAGAAGCAGTCCCATCAGCAGAATGACATTTTGTCTGCCCTATGGCGTTCCTAGTGTTGGATAGTTTTCACTGTTCTCTGTTCTGATATGTAAAAGTAGTCTTCCAGCTGCCCTTTCAACACTACACAAATATACTTACTGCACTTCCTTGGATTCCATAGGATATATCCATGGTAATAGAATCACAACTATGTAATACAAAAGGGCCTCAAATGTGTAATTAACTGAGATTTACTATGGGTCCTTCCGCATCTTTCCCCTGCTTCTTTTTTTCTTGCAGTTCAATATTTGATTCCTTCTTCCTTCCCCTAAATATTTGATCAGAAGTTGGACATCACCCAATTAGGTTACAGAGAGACTAAATTCACTCAGCCCTTGGATTTATAGTATGCATAATCCCTTTTTGAAACTAAATTAAAAACCTGGCTTTGGTGAAGATCTACCTGTTCCTGATATGAACATAGAGTATCTATTTGATCTAAATAAATATTTGTGATGTTTTTAATTTCAAACAATATTTATTTTTATTTATTATTTTCTTAAAGGGTATATTTGTAACCAGAGTACAACCTGAAGGACCAGCATCCAAGTTGTTGCAGCCAGGAGATAAAATTGTTCAGGTAATTTCATTTAAAATAATTCAGAAATTATTTATATTGATGCAGTGGCCTTCACTGGAAGATTTTCAGCCATCTCTTAACCTCCTGTCATTTTTGCTCATTCAAATTCTGAAATAGTCATCTTTAGCTTCTCCCTATTGCTATCACTTATACTCTAAAAGATGTAAAGGAATCCAGTAGCACCTTTGAGATTCACTTGGAATATAAGTTTTTTGGCATAAGCTTTTATTGACTCAGCCTGTTTCTTTCCAGTTCGTTTCAAAAGTGCTTCTGGCTTTCTCTGTGTCAGTTTATGCTAAAATAAACAACATGGCTATCTCTTTGAATATTTGTCTTATTGGCCAAGGAGTGTTTTGTGGCTGATTACATCAGCTTTGTCAATATTCAGGTTATTTACTTTTTGATGCCTTACTAAATAATTTCTCTCTGCATCATTTCCGAATAAAAACTGTGCACCCCTCTTTCCATTATTCCTTCCTTTCCTTGTATGCTACTTAACAAGATAATGCCCAGTCTTTGTCTAGCCTAAATTCCCCAATGTGTAACTTACTTGGTTAATGATGATGGAGTTTGTAATCACGGAAAGCTGGTTTGATATACCATGAATCAGTGGAGTTTCTAAAACAACATGTTAAATAAGCAAATAAAATAACAAAAATCTTAAGAAGGAAAAATACAAAAGAAGATTTTTTTTGTTTCACATTAGTAGGGGGCATCACTAGGGAGGGGATTCCATAAAGTTCCCACAATAAGCCACATAAAATGATGATGGGTCACATTTGACCCATTGGGCCTTGAGTTTGTTACATGTGTACTAGAGTAAGTAATATGACCACATCCTCAGCTCTGTATTTATCAAAGATAAGGGGAAGAGCTAGAAAAGAGCCTTTGAAAATAATTTCAGAACATTGGCAGATTGGTATAAGATAAGGCATCCTTAACTTATCTGGATCATAAACCAATTGTACTTGAAAATAGACTGGAATTCAATGAAATTGTCAGTTCTGGCAACCCCACCAACAAAACTGCATGTTAGCTGTTACCAGATTTATCAATAAGTGGGTAAGCGAGACCAAACTACAGCTGTGATGCCAGCTTGAGCTGGTGAAATATCATTTTCCATATTAATTACAGTTTGCCCTCTCAGCTCTGTGCATAGCAGTGGTTCTCAACCTGGGAGTCCCCAGGTGTTTTGGCCTACAATTATTTACAGTATTTATATTCCGCCCTTCTCACCCCACAGGGGACTCAAGGTGGATTACAATGTATACATATATGGCAAACATTCAATGCCAAAGACACACAACAGATATAGACAGACAGTTAGAGGCTATTTAACTTTTTCTGGCTGCCAGGGGAGCTGTCGTTTTCATCGTCCATCAGCGACACTGATGAAGTACTTCCGCATTCCCCGCATGCTTTTCTGGAGTCTTTTTATGGCCTCGTAAATTAGCTAAATTAGCCTCCTCACATATAGGTGGCACCTAATTTTCCTACTTGACAGATGCAACTGTCTTTCAGGTTGCAAAGGTCAACAACAAGCTACACAATTGGTTGGAAGTTCACTCCAAGCCGGGCTGGCTTCAAACTCATGACCTTTTGGTCAGAAGTGATCTTAATGCAGCTGACACTCAGCCAGCTGCACCACAGTCCTGGCCAGTTTACCAGCTGTTAGGATTTCTGGGAGTTGAAGGCCAAAATATCTGGGGACCCACAGGTTGAGAACCACTTCATTAGGTAGTCATATATATAAAGAACTAGTACTGAAAAGGTATTGCTTTGCACTTACCAGGATTACATTTTATTTCCAGGCTAATGGGTATAGCTTCATCAATATTGACCATGGACATGCAGTATCTTTACTAAAGACTTTCCAGAACACGGTGGAACTCATCATTGTTCGAGAGCTTTCTTAAATACTATGGAGGAATGGCATACGTCCACGTGATCCTCTGAAAGACTTGTGGGAAAACTGAATATTTTGACTATTTTTATATACAAAACTTTTAAAATTATGTACAGTAATAAAATAATGAACTTGTGGTTATGGGGGAAAACCACTGTAAAGAACATAGATGAAACAGTTTTGAAAATGCAACTGGCATTGTAGCAATCAGTGATCACTCCTCCAAGAACAAACCTGTGGTGTATTTTGTACAGATGGTAGGTTTATTTTTGGATAATTCATATACATTACTAAACTTCATGTAAATGGAGCCTCCATTGTATCCAGTGGACAGATGGCAGGGCTTTCTGTCCTGTAGCTGTTTGTTGCCTTTAATTTTTTTTGTTCGTTCACCTCATTTTACTGTCTTTTAAAAAAACCACTTCTGTAGATGTGGATAGGAGATTTGAAATGCTGGCTTTGATATGTGCTTATTTGTATAGATGAATGGGTAGATGGAAAGTGGGACTGGCTGGATTAATTTAAGAGGCCAGGTACAATGGCTTTGAAAGTATAGAATTAAGAAAGGAAGGGTGGAAAAGAGTTTACATGAGAATGTATATCTACCAATAGAAAAAAATGCAATAAAATGTGATGTCTATTTATGGAGACTATAAACACCATTCTGGGAGTTCCACAGGACTGTCTCATATCACATCCACTGACTGTCTTATTTCCTACATGTAATTCAATTTTAAGTGTTGTTTTTTTTTTTTTTTAATCGCCCTGTTTTTTCCTCCATTTCTGCTGTGGAGTTTTACTCGGAGAATATTCTCTGCTAAAAAAAATCCCCACTTACGTGCAAATGGGTGATTTTTTTTTCTGCCTTGTATTAAATATTACATATTCAATTTAGAGGGTTTTTTTTTAAAAAAAAGGAATGAAACTGAAATGGCCAGTTTTTTTTATTGTGTTGTGTGTATGCAACTCACCACATGTACGTATATCACACATGTGCATGTTCCAGACCTCTAATCATTTTGCCAGAAAAAGTGTCTTTCTTTCTAATGGAGCTCATTGCAGTGAGCCCTGCGAGGATTGGGCTGCCCAGGGATGAATGGTTTAAGGAGGGTTAGGAAAGAAGTCTTGATTTTATATGGCCTTGAATTGCCTTGTTATCATGAAAGGAAACAATACGTACGGAGCTAAGTAACCAAAGCCAGTTTTTTTGTGGAACTGTTGCACAGTGATGGGAGAAATGCCGTTGGGAGGTTGTGGGGCAAAGGGATGGGTGCTGTTAACCCACCGGTTTGTAATGATCTTTCTCAAAGGGCTGTTCCTACAGGTGATGTTAAATGTGAACTAGACACTTCAGAGTCATTAAAGGGTTTCTACGTATATCAATGTAATAGTGATTTACCACAGGCTGCCTTTGTTCCTTATTACTTGTATAAAATATCGGCTTATACATAATTAATTTTGTTTATGACAAACATTATCTTTATTTCTTCTTTTTCCTTGTATGACAGATATGAAATTGCCTAACTTGTTAGATAATAAGTAATACATGGTTATTATGGACCAGAGAAAAGTGCCATAGAAGACCAATAACTGTTTTTTAAAAGTCAAATGATTAACCATCATTGGAGCAATATTCAGTAACTACAGTTTTTAATAAATAGAAATTGGCAGATTTAAAAAGAGATATAGCAAAAGCACCAGCCTATTGTAGTTATTTGGAAAGACTTGCTGGAATCAAAAGGAAATCTGCATCTAGTCAGTACTTTCTAAGTATATAAACTTCAGTGACATTGCACTTCAAAGAAGTTATCATCTGCATATTGTAATGTGTATAGTTTTTAATAATTTTAATTGAAACCCTTTAACAACTCTTTGTACATTAATTTTAGTTGATTTCATTAATATTTACATAGGAATTGATTTTTATATTAGCAAAAATGTGTTGTATTTTGGTAAAATCTACTTATTTTCTCAGTGTGCTGTTTAATCTTTAAAGGAAAAACAAGAAACATAGCTATATCATGGCAGGCTTCAGTGTTACCTTGCTTCTAAAAGTGTCTTCTTTTTAATTTCTGTACATTTTATTGGCAGTTTAAAAATCAACACTCACCAGTAACCTCAGCATTTTAAAGGGAATATAACAGATCAGTCTTAATCTGACTGAGACATCAAACTATAATTATGAGGATATCAAAACTGGAACTGATTCTTCATTGATCATGGACTTAGTTTGTCTTTTTATACAAGACATCAGTTTGTAATAAGGTGTTGAAATAAAGGGCATTTCATATGAATCAACAAGCATTTGTAACCTATGCTATTCAAATTTAACTAAATTTGTATATAGCAATGCTGCCAAAATGATCATAGCTTGTTAGGATTAATTTAAAGTAAAAGACTTGGTGCTTTTAATTTGTTGTGAAAAAGAAGAAAAATATATTTCCAATATTTTTGATGGCTGTTGTCTCTTGGGGGAAATAACACATTTTTAAATGTGATATTCTGTTTGTATAGGGAGATGGTCAGAATACTCTTTCTTGAGATATGCTGTGGAAAGAAGAGGCCAGAATGCAAGGAGAGAGCTCCCATGCTATTATTAGTAATGTTTCTTATCTTGTCAAATAAGATATGACTGCAGACTATGGAGCAGAACAAATTAAATGTTTATCAGGTCCATATTCTTTCACAGCAGGTCATTAAAGAATCAGTTCAAATTAAAATTCTGGTTAAAAAACCCAAATATTTATTGTGTAAATATTTTTTTTTACTTTTTTGACTAGAGTTTCAGAAATGTGTATATACTTGAACACATCCTTTGAACACAATCATAGCAATAAGCAAAACACAGAAATCAAGCCTTTATCATTAATTTGCGGTGTACTACTTTTTTAAAAAAGTAATTATTTCCTTGTCATCAGCTATGTAATGTTTTTATTGATCACCATTTAGTCAGCATTCCAAAATTTTGTATATAAATAAAATTGTTTCTGAAGTAACACATGGAGAATAGATAATAAACTAATGCTCTTTAAAGCTCTGTGTAATTTTACTGACTTGGTTTTATATTGGTTATTAGATTGCTGGAGTTTTTCCGTCTCTGTTCTGTGACAATTGAGTTCTTGGATTTTTCTCTCTTTAAGTACTAGAGGATTATGCAGAACGTGTGAATTGCAAGTTAAGGTATAAGTCCACATAGTTAGTGTTCCCTGTTGCCAAGAAACACTTCTCAAAAGAGCATATGGTTCGTGAATCAGCAGCTGTGCTTTCACTGTGAATAGCAGGAGAGGGAGGAGGACCCTTTCAAATCAAAACCATTCTGGACTTTGATTGCTCTTAAAAACCAAGTTTTCCAGCTCTACATCCATCAACTATCCTGCTTTGTTGGGGTACTACATCCAAAAGACTACAGGTTTGGGTTCATGGGCATTGCTTTGGTAACAAACTAGAAATAACTTTGAAAGAATACACCACAAAAATAAGAGCAGTACAACATGCTTAAGCAAACATTTTTATTTAAAACCTACACTGTGTACATGTGAAATGAAACAACCAAGTTGAATCAATGCAATTTTAAGCTGTATCAATAGGCGCATAGTATCTGATCGAGGGAAGTTCTGCTTTGGTCAAACCTCACCTGGAATAATGATGTGTTTAGTTCTGGACAACAGAATTCAAGGACTTGGACAAGCTGAAACATTTTCCAGAGAAAGCTGACCAAAAATGTTCAAAAGTTTGGAAGCCAAGCTCTATGAGGAGTGGCTGAAGGAACTGTATATTTAGTTCCAAAAAAAAAAAAAGAAAGCTAAGGAGGGACATGATCCCATGTTTAAATCATAGAATCATTAAGTCGGAAGAGACCTTTGACGGCCATCTAGTCCAACTCCCTGCTAAGAAGCAGGAAAATCACATTCAAAGCACCCCCAACAGATGGCCATCCAGCCTGTTTAAAAGCTTCCAAAGAAGGAGCCTCCATCACACTTTGAGGCAGAGAGTTCCACTGCTGAACAGCTCTCACAGGGAGTTCTTCCTAATGTTTAGGTGGAATCTCCTTACCAGCAGTTTGAAGTCATTTTTCCGTGTCAGAGTCTCCAGGGCAGCAGAAAAAAAAGCTTGCTCCCTCCTCCCTATGACTCTCCCCCCCCCCCCCCCCCCCCCCCACCAACCCCAGAGATTATTCTGGTCTGAAGACCAAAATTTGCTTGAAGTCCCTACCATCCGGACTTATCATTTGTCATCTACTAGGCAGAGAGCCTTCTCGATTGTAGCCCCTTATTTATGGAATGCCTTGCCGGTTGAAATTTGAACCATCCGAGACCTACTTGCATTTCGGAAAGCCTGTAAAACCTTTCTTTTCCGACAAGCTTTTGGTGGGTGAACAACTCAGGGCTATGTCTGTCCTCGCTGTTTATTGTGATTTTAAAGCTAATTGTATTGTTTTAATCTGCTTCTGTAAACCTCTCCGAGCCAAACTGGGAGTAGCGGTATACAAGTTAAATTAATTAATAAATAAAGTAAATATTTATACATGGTATGGTCCTCATCATGTCTCCTCTCAGCCTTCTTTTCTGCAGGCTAAACATGCCTGGTTCTTTAAGCCGCTCCTTATAGGGCTTGTTCTCCAGATTCTCGATCATTTTAGTCGCCCTCCTCTGGACACATTCCAGCTTGTCAACATTTCCCTTCAATCACAGTGCTCAGAACTGGACACAATATTGGTCTGACCAAGGCAGAATAGAGGGGTAGCATGACTTCCTTGGATATAGATACTAGACTCCTATTTATGCAGGCCAAAATTCCATTGGCTTTTTTTGCCACTGCATGACATTGTTGGCTCACATTTAACTAGTCCACAAAGACTCCCAAGATCTTTTTAATGTGTACTGCTTTTAAGCCAGGCATCCCCCATTCTGTATCTTTGCATTTCATTTTTTCTGCCTAAGTTCAGTATCTTGCATTTGTCCCTGTTGAACTTCATTTTGTTAGTTTTGGCCCATCTCTCTAATCTGCCAAGATCATTTTGAATTCTGCTCCTGTCTTCTGGAGTGTTGGCTGTTCTTCCCAATTCGGTGTTATCTGCAAACTTGATGATCATACCTTTTAACCCTTCATCTAAGTCATTAATAAAGATGTTGAACAGGACCGGGCCAGGACGGAACCCTGCAGCACTCAGTCGTCACTTCTTTCTAGGATGAAGAGGAAACATTGCTGAGCAACATTTGAGTTCATTCACTTAACCAATTACAGATTCATCTAATCGTAGTTTTGCCTAGCTCACATTAGATTGGTTTGCTTGCCAGAAGATCACGGGAAACCTTGTTGAAGGCCTTACTGAAATCCAGATGTGCTATATTGGAAAGGATGTCACATTGAGGAGAGGGACAAGCTTACTTTCTGCTGCTTAAGACTAGGACACAAACATTAGGAAGAAATTCCTGAAGGTAAGAGCTGTGAGCTGTAAGAATTGTGGGAGTTGAAGTTCAAAACACCTGGAGGACCGAAGTTTGCCTATGCCTGTTATAGGTAGTGCCATTTTGCCAGGTTGTCCTTTGATCTGCCAACTCCAATTCTGAGTCTGTTCATGGACTTCCAAGTCACCCATTCTTGGTTTGCCCCTGGAGGAAGATCCTCGTAGATCCTTTGTCAGGAGGACTTTGATTACGTTTTCTTGCCCTGATGAAGGGAATTGGATTGGATGGCCTTAAGTATTTTCTGTTGGTCATGGGGGTTCTGTGTGGGATGTTTGGCCCGATTCTGGCATTCGTGGGGTTCAGAATGCTTTTAGTTGTAGGTAAACTGTGATTCCCAGTGACTACAACTCCCAAATGTCAAGGTCTATTTCCCCCGAACTCCATCTGTGTTCATATTTGGGCGTATTGAGTGCTTGTGCCAAGTTTGGTCCAGACCCATCATTGTTTGAGTCCACAAACAATGATGGAGGTAGGTGAACTACAACTCGCAAACTCAAGGTCCATGCCCACCAAACACTTCCAGTATTTTCTGTTGATCATGGGAGCTCTGTGTACCTCCATCATTGATGGAGTTCAGAATGCTCTTTGATTGTAGGTGAACTATAAATCCCAGCAACTACAACTCCCAAATGACAAAATCATATTTTTGGAGTGATAGTCACTCCTTGTGTTGTGAGACGTTTTGTGGCCAAATTTGGTGTGATTTCGTTCATTGGTTCTTTTGTTTTTAAGGTACTCATTATGCACAGAGCATATATATGGAGAAAGGTTGAAATTCATTCAGTCGTTTTTGACTCTTCGTGACCTCATGGACCAGCCCACGCCAGAGCTCCCTGTCGGCCGTCACCACCCCCAGCTCCTTCAAGGTCAGTCCAGTCACTTCAAGGATACCATCCATCCATCTTGCCCTTGGTCGGCCCCTCTTCCTTTTACCTTCCACTTTCCCCAGCATAATTGTCTTCTCTAGGCTTTGCTGTCTCCTCATGATGTGGCCAAAGTACTTCAACTTTGTCTCTAGTCTCCTTCCCTCCAGTGAGCAGACGGGCTTTATTTCCTGGAGGATGGACTGGTTGGATCTTCTCGCAGTCCAAGGCACTCTCAGAACTTTCCTCCAACACCACAGCTCAAAAGCATCGATCTTCCTTCGCTCAGCCTTCCCTAAGGTCCAGCTCTCACATCGTAGGTTACTACAGGGAATACCATGGCTTTGACTAGGCGGATCTTTGTTGCCAGTCTGATGTCTCTACTCTTTACTATTTTATCGAGATTGGACATTGCTCTCCTCCCAAGAAGTAAGCGTCTTCTGATTTCCTGGCCACAGTCTGCATCTGCAGTAATCTTTGCACCTAGAAATACAAAGTCTGTCACTGCCTCCATGTTTTCTCCCTCTATTTCCCAGTTGTCAATAATTCTTGTTGCCATAATCTTGGTTTTTTTGATGTTTAGCTGCAACCCAGCTTTTGCTTTCTTCTTTCACCTTGATTAGAAGGCTCCTCAGCTCCTCCTCGCTTTTGACCATCAAAGTGGTATCATCTGCATATCTAAGGTTGTTAATGTTTCTTCCAGCAATTTTCACCCCAGCCTTGCATTCCTCAAGCCCTGCACATCGCATGATGTGTTCTGCATACAAGTTGAATAGGTTGGGGGAGAGTATACACAAAGACTCCCAAGACTGTCCCGTCTTGGGTGGTCCTCGGTTCCGCTCATGACATCATTGAGGTGCTCAAGCTCCAGCACCACGACAAGGCCGGAGTCTGATTTCTTACTGTATACTTTCTTTATTCATTTACTTTATTTATTTATTTATTCATTTACTTTATTTATTTATTCATTCATTTACTTTATTTACTTATTCATTTATTTACTTTATTTATTCATTCATTTACGATATATATATATATATATATAGATTTATTTATTTACGACATTGATATGCCGCCCTTCTCACCCCGAAGGGGACTCAGAGCGGCTTACAAGATATATATTTACATACAATATATTATATTATTACCATAGTACAATATCAGTATTAAATAAATTTATTATTTATTTACTTCGCTTATATACCGCAATTCTCAGCCTAATGGCGACTCATTGCGGTGTACAACATAGAAAAACAGGTGCAAAATACAACATAAAATAAAATAATCCACAGTACATCATTATCAAAACATCTCATCAAAAACATCAACATTACTACAAGCCATTCCGAGTCGTCTCATCGTCAAGTTCACAATCCGATACCATTTCCGTTGTTCCATTCCTATGGTCGAGTTACCAGTCATTGCACTTCTATTCAAATGCCTTCTTAAACAACCAGGTCTTTAGCTTCCTGCGGAATATCAACAGGGAGGGGGCTAGCCTGATGTCTACGGGAAGGGTGTTCCACAGTCGAGGAGCCACCACCGAGAAGGCCCTATCTCTCGTCCCCGCCAGCAGTTTTAAATATTGCTATATTGTACTATACCAATTATATTGTAATATTATTAGTCATACTACATGTAATATAAATATATAATTATAATATCATGTTATTATTAGTATTATATATATATAAAACCCATA